AATTTTTTTTGAGGCTTTCTGATAATCATGATTATGAGGGAATTGCCAATATATAAGGGCATGAACTCCTAATGGGGTTCATGCTAAAACTTCTCCTGATAAATTCACAATGAAGAATCACTCTTGTTCCTTCCATTAAGCTGTTATCATTTGTTGTGTTTAAAAAATCTTGTATCATAAAATGATATATATATGTGTGTATATAAAACTTCTATGTGTTTGAAGTTGTTTTCAATTTAGACTTGGTTAAAACTTCTATGTGTATATACTCCAGTGAACCAAAACCAAAATGGGACATCCTTTTGGGTGTGTAGGATGTAGAAATAAGTAGCCAAAGTCTGAATGTGAACTTTTAATCTGATGCTATTGTATGGAGTGTTTGCCATGCTTCCTGAACATTAAAAAAACTCTTGAAACAACTGGAGAAAGGTGGAAGATACTAAAGGGATATTCAACTTCTTTTAAAGTTGAAAACAAACTGACTATGCCAAGGAAATAAAGAAAACCCATAAAAAGACAAACAACAATATACAAAACACAACATAGAAAACTCAAGACGAAATAACACAAACCCCACTAAAAACTGGGGGTGATCTCATGTGCTTCCGTTTGTAAGCAAATCCTGCTCCACATGTGGCACCCCTTGTGTTGCTCCTGTAAGTACAGACTCAGTTATATGTCTAATTTGGTAGGTCACATTCGAGGAAAAGAAGGCAGGATTGTGGTTATGACTATTGGAACATATCTGTCATCATCTGTGAAACAGTTATTCCATAAGATTAAACCAACTCATGATGGTGTCCATAAACTTTTCAAAGGGATGATTTCAACTTCTAACTTTTAAATGTAAGAGCTCTGAGGTTCCTAGGTGGCTTTGTTGCAAGGCAAAATTTCAGACCCTATTCATCATACCCCCATTTACCTGTGAAGGTCCTTCCGTCCTTCATACTGGTTTTGCAGAATTTATTGCAACTCTTACCTATTGTATTTAATTGCTGATTTGATCTTGTCCTAAATATGCATAAAATATTTGTCACTTGACGTTGAGCAGGCAAAAATCAATCGATTAATCAATATATATATATACTATGATCTTTCTGAATTGATTTATAAAATACACAATGGCAGCCATTTTATCATTTTTGATTATTTGATTATCTTGTTTAAAAAAAAAATTAATTATTATGTGATTATATTGGCAAAAAAATTTGTGATCATGTGATTACTTGGACACCCCCATGAAGGGCCTCTTTAGTTTCTGATAAAGTTCCATTTCAGAATAAAATGTTATGATAGACCATTACTATTTTGTGTGCAATACTAACAGTATAATACATAAAAAGGATAATAGGAATCACAAAAAGTACTGGACCACATTAATCACCAAAATCTGACTCCATGGAAAAAAAGTCAATAGACATGCAAACAAAGACAAGCAACACCACAACAACCCATGGTCCAGATAACCAGACTTAGTACAGCCATACACCATGCTTCAGTGACTTCAGAATTTTTATAAGGATCACGTTTTCATCTCTCTGATGCATAGAAGTCATTGAACAAAGTCAAAAATATCTATCACATGCATACTTGACCTTCTTAAATTTATTTGTTATTCATGTTATTTGAATAAAGTTTTTTAATAAATCTCATAAATTATATGTTTTTTTTCTTATAAAACCATATATTTATTCATGTATGCTTATATTTATTCATATATGTTTAGTATTGATTATTTTTCATACTAAACTTTTTTTGAATGTTTAATTATAGACAGACAATGGGAAAGCAAAATAATTATTCATTTTACATCCTTCATGTGTCCTTGTAATGTTGGAGCTGAATACTATAGAATTACAAATGTACACACAGTTATGGAATAAAACTGAAATACAATTTTGTGCAATTATGAAATCTGTGTTCAAGTCTTATATATAAGGCAAATATACATCTAATTCAGGGCTTTACAAATGCAAATATATAATTTATAGGTGCATGTGTAAGTGTGTTATGATTAAGTCGTTGTTGGTTTGCCTACCTGTATATATTGAAATTATTTCTACATGCAGGTAAAATTTAAAGGCAGTATTCTGTTACAGTAGACTCCATTTAATGGACACTCCTGTTATTTCTTAATTAATTCAGTATAAAAAACTTTTCCTACAATGTACAAGAACCACTTCTTTCAAGTCTTTGTAAATTGTTTCTTTTTTTATTTATAGGGAATAATAGGTAAAACTGCAATTCCTGTTAACGTTTATTGCCTAAAATTATCTGAAAAATAATGATAAAAAGCACACTATCCTGAAAATTGAAAGCAGTCTCTTTTGTAATTTAATTAAAAATCAATACGGGATTACTCCTGTTTTCTGATATATCATTGGGAAGTTCCCACTAAACATATCAGAATAAAGGGAGCTGGTCAGCTGTATTTGGTGAATGAAATGGTTGTAAGGTGTACATGTCAGACTAGCAGGTATCATCTGACCTTGACTTCATTTTAATGGTTTATCTGTCAATTTTAAATGTTTAGTAGTTTGGTCCTTTTCTCAGATACTATATGCAATAGGGCAACTATATTAAGTATATAGAATGATTGTAAGATGAACATATGTTTGGCAGGGTTTATCTGATTTTGACCTCATTTTCATGGTTCATTTATCAATTTTATGTTTTCATTGATAGGTTTGTTTCTCAGATAACAAAAGCAGTAGGTCAACTTTCTTTTGTGTATGTTATGATTCTTTGTGTCTGGCAAGGTTCTCTTGACCTTGACTTAATTTTTATGGTTCATTGGTCAATTTTAAGTTTGGTGGTTAGGTCTGTTTCTATTAGCAAGATGTTGATTTTGACGTCTTTACACTAAATCCATTAGGTGCTGGATGTGTACTGATTCATATTTTAGTCTTAGATACATGATTTTGTGCCCCCGCTGCGGTAGAGGGGGCATTAAGTGTTACCTTGTCCGTCCGTCAGTCTGCACATACATACGTCCCAAAATTAGTTTCCATTCTCTAACTTTAGTTTGCCTCAACCAAATGTTATGAAACTATTACACAATGCTTATTACCATAAAAAACAGATCAAGTTCAAATTTGGTGACGTCACTTTTACAGTTCTCTAGTTATGTTCCTTTATAATGTTATATACAAGCGGGGGCATCATTTGTGTCAATGTCAATTTTATTAGTTGTTATTGGCTTTGAACTAGCTGTCAGTAAATGTGAGTACTCTCAGATCTGTAATTTGTGTATTTTTTGTTGTAAGGGATGTATAAATACCCAGCCACATAGGGTCAGTGATTTTGTTAGATGTTTCCTGCTTTGTATCGATCTGATGACGTATATTTTGTTATAAATTAGGCCGTTAGTTACCTCAATTGAAATGTTTCATGTTTTGGCCTTTTATAGCCGACTATATGGTATGGGTTTTTCTTATTGTTGAAGGTGGTATGGTTGCCTATAATTGCTTACATCCTATTCATTTGAACTTAGGTGGATAGTTGTCTCATTGGCAATCATACCTCATCTCCTTATTTTTAGTCCCCTAAGAACGAAGTCGAAGAGGACTTTAGGTTTGCACTCTGTCCGTCTGTCTGTCTGTCCATACGTCAGTCCGGCAAATCAGCTTTCCACACGTTTTTTCTTCGTTCTTGAAGATATTGATTTGATATATGGTATATAGTTTTGCCATGACAAGTTATAGATCAAGTTCAAATTTTGTTCCGGTCTGATGATTTAGTCCAGAGTTATGGACCATGGAGTACTATGTTAAACCATATTTCTGTACAAAGGGAGATAACTAATTTTTTTAAAAGACATTCTTTGGTTAATTATTTGAAGAATTTTTTGCCAGGTTTGTTTGTTATTTTGTATAAACTAAGTTTCTGAATGCTATATATATATGAAAAAAAATTATGAAGTGAAATCCTTCAATTAGATAATGATCTATTTTTATTAATGTATGTATCACATTTCATTGTGTAGATAAAAATTGTTGACATTTTATAAATAAGTTACAAATCTATATTAGTTTGTGACAAATAAAAGAAAAAATATTTCAATTTGGAACTATTAATTATATTTGATTATAATTTGAAAATAGATATACACTGTATTACATCATATCTAATTTTAGAGAACTATTAATCATATCTAATGTTAAAGTGTTTTCCACACTTTTTTTCATGATGCTTGAAGATATTGATTGATAATTGGTATATAGTTTTATCATGACAAGTTATACATGTCAAGTTCAAAATTTTGTTTCGGTCTGATAATTTTGTGCAGAGTTATGGTCCTTGGACTTGAAAAATTCACTCATTTAATCAGTTTTCCACACTGTTTTTAGTCATGCTTGAAGATATTGACTTGATATTTTCTTTTTGTTTACACCATGACAAGTTATAGAACAAGTTCGCTTTTTGTTCCAGTATAATGAATTTTTACACGGTAGTGGACTATGTATTGCCATGCAATACTCTCAGAATGCTTGTTATATTGAAAGATTCTTTAATTAAAATCTACTTTTATACCTGACACAAAATTGTGTACAAATAATTAGTTGTTTTGATTTAATTTTTCTACAAACCATTGACACATTTAAAATTATAAACTAGTGAACCAACACCTTTTAATGGTACAAGCTGGTAGAGTAATCAGGATGGATACCGAAGTATGCTGCGGTTGTCTTAAAACATCGGGAAAATAAAACTATATAAAGACAACAACATCCTTGCAGTAATCCATGATGTTGTTGTCTTTTAAAAGTTTTATTCAAACATTTGTTCGATATATTCATTTAACAATGGTCATCAGGTTAAAAAGATTGCTTCATTTGACTTAATGTTAGACTTAACTGACTCACAAATTTTCGTTTCAGTAACTGGTATCGTTTGAAACAGTTTTTATCAAAATGAAAATAGAATTGACCTCTTGCAAAATAAGTGATTAACACCTATATGAATTGAGTTGTAAAGAAGTAATATATATATAATTTTAGATGGATCCAAGCCTGCATTAATGAAGAATTACCTCCTACAACAGAACTAGAAGAAGGTTTGAGAAATGGTGTTTATCTTGCAAAGCTTGGTCATTTTTTGGCTCCTAAGTTTGTACCAATCAAAAGGATTTATGACAGAGAACAAACTAGATATCAGGTACATATTTGTTAGTTTTTATACGACTTTTGTTTTGCGGTCGTATATTGGTATGGCGTTGGCGTCGTCGTCGTCCGAAGACACATTGGTTTTCGCACTCTAACTTTAGTTTAAGTGAATGGATCTCTATGAAATTTTACCATAAGGTGCAATACCACAAAAGGAAGGTTGGGATTGATTTTGGGGGTTATGGTACCAACAGTTTAGGAATTAGGGGCCAAAAGGGGCCAAAAATGAGCATTTTTTAGTTTCCAGACAATAACTTGTGGAACGGTGTATGGATCTCTCTGAAATTATACTTCAAGTTTCCATACCACAAAGGGATGGTTAGGATCTGCTTTGGGGGGTTATGGCTCAAACCGTTAAGGAATAGGGGCAAAAAAGGGGGAAAAACAAGGTTGTCCTGGTTAATGGACAAATACTTAAGTAAAAACATAATTTAAAGCAGTGTAAGGGAGATAAATCAAATACATCATTTGAATTACCTCCCTTACACTGCTTTTAGATTATGTATAAAGTAATGGTTAATGAATAATTAAGATAATTTAAAACAGTGTAATGGAGGTAATCCAAATACAACGTTTTAATTACTTCCCTTACACTGCTTTTAAATTATGTTTAAAGAAATGCATATTTATAAAGGAAGACCAGTAAAAATATCTGCAAATGTTGCATCTTTTTTTTTACAAAAAAATCCATATGAAAGATTTGACACCATATTTTAAATTCTATTATAAAATAGATTAAGTTAGTACTATGGTAAGTTTAAATGGGTAATTATGGTTGCAAACTCCATTGGAAATTTGAATTGAGATTATGACCATATCTTGAGGGAAAGAATTTTTTGGGGAAAAAGGGGGGGGGGGGGGAATAAAAAGAATTTGTGGGGGGTCAATTTTTTCTCATTTCAGATTTCAGAAATTAAAAAGAATTATCCTTCAAATATTATTTTTTTTTCAAATTTCAAATATTGAAAAATTTCAAGAAGTAATCTTTAAGTGCACAGTATGGCACATTAGATTTGTAAAATCTTTGACCACATTTATTTATTTGTTATGCCGAATCTTACCGTGTGTTTAGATTTTTAATTTTGGGTCCAGTTTTCAAATTGGTCTACATTAAGGTCCAAAGGGTCTAAAATTAAACTTAGTTTGATTTTAACACAATTTGAATATATGGGGTTCTTTGATATGCTGAATCTAAAATGTATTTAGATTTTTGATTTTGGGCCCAGTTTTCAAGTTGGACCAAATTGGGGTCCAAAATTAAACTTTGTTTGATTTCAACCAAAAATGAATATATGGGGTTCTTTGATAAGCTGAATCTAACCATGTATTTAGATTTTTTATTTGTGGGCCCCGCTATCAAATTGGTTCATATTGAGGTCAAAAGGGTCCTAAATTAAACTTTGTTTGATTTCAACAAAAATTGAATATATGGGGTTCTTTGATATGCTGAATCTAACCATGTATTTTGATTTTTGGGCCCCGTTATCGAATTGGTCCACATTGAGGTCAAAAGGGTCCTAAATTAAACTTTGTTTGATTTCATCAAAAATTGAATTCTTTGGATTCTTTGATATGCTGAATCTAACCATGTATTTAGATTGTGGATATTGTACCATAATAGGTAAATTAAAAAAAATTAAGTTCTTAGACCACATTCATTCTGTGTCAGAAACCTATGCTGTGTCAAATATTTAATCACAATCCAAATTCAGACATGTATCAAGCTTGAATGTTGTGTCCATACTTGCCCCAACTGTTCAGGGTTCGACCTCTGAGGTCGTATCAAGCTGCGCCCAGCCTAGCATTTTATTCTTTTTCTGAAAATGTTACGACTTGTGAGTCAATTGGATTTAAATTAGTTTGAAGATCAGTTAGAAGTTAAAATTAGTCCCAAAAAGTTTCAGTTTCCTTCCTCAAAAGTTATAGGTCGTATTAAAGTTGGAAAATAATTTTTTTTAGTCACAATCAGAAATCAGTGTCTGCATTTTTACGTACCATGAAACCAGAATTGTGCCATTTGCAATTAACTAAATGACCATGTTTAACACATTTTCTTCAATACTGTGGTATATTTTGATGAAATAAGTTAGCAGTTGCAACAGCTATTATGTTATTTGATGAAATCCTCATAAAAAATTTGGGACTTTGGTGGCTGAGTTGTCTAAGTAGTCGAACTACTGTATCCCTAGCCTGTCAACACTGAGGTTGTGAATTCGAATCCAGTATGTGGCAGATGGGTTCAACTACATTCTTAATTGACTAGGATTGTAAGTTTCCTTACCAAAGGTCGTTGGTTCTCTTTGGGCACTCTGGCTTCCTCCACCAATAAAAACTGAAAATAGTGCTGAAAGTGGCGTTAAACACCAATCAATCATAAAAACCTTAGGGTCTTTCGAGCAGCCCTTAACACAAACCTTTTTTTGGCCTTAATTATTCTCAATTACATCAGTTTTCAATTAGAAGGATTGAATGAATGAGTTGCTTTCCTTTCGATATAAAAGTAAGATGTGGTATGATTACTAATGAGTCAACTATTAACTATAGAACAAAGGGCAAGGATGTGAACAAATACAGCCTTCAACAATGAACAAAACTCATACCTTTATTAAGCAATAAAGGGTTAAAGATGACAAAATTTGAAAAAATTCAAAGAAGGATCATAACCAATGCTCTGTATTATGCTACATGTGTAAAACAATCAACGGTAAACATACAGACAACTGACAGCAAAAAACAACAAGATGAGATGGATTGGGACCGGCACATAAAGAATATATGGCAGAGTCAAACATGTTTTTGAGAGCTCCACTCTCCCCTTGCATGGGATAGTGGTGCACTACACAAGAACAAACTAAAAATCAGAATGTTGGAAAGGGCTTGACTCGTCAGATCAACAATAAGACAAGGACATAGAACCAACCTGTGAACATACATAAAAAAGACAAACCATTTTCACTCTACAAAGAAATGTTAATAAACGAAACCTTATCAGGTAGTGAACTTCACAGTGATGAGGAAAACCAGAGAAGTTTTAAAGTTGCACACAATTATATAAGTCCTATGATTTGTTTGTTAATTTATTTTATGAATTAAACTTTATTTTGTGGAACACAGTCATAAATATATCATATTCACAGCTAAGACCACGATTCCGAATGAGTTGATCACATGATTTGACTGACTTCTGAGTTGAACTGGCAAACCACAGAATAAACATGTATAAATTGCAAATTTGATTATATTGTGTTTCTTTACACTATGTTTCTAATGTTGTTATCTTGTTATTAATGGAGCCAAATTAGTACAAGTATTTCTTGTTTCAGAATCCCTATATATTTCTGTTGTATATTTGGCATTTGCACACTTTTGAGAAATAAAATATATTTGAAACTAAAAAAGACACGAATCACCAAAACTATTATTAATAAACCTTTCCACCTACCAACTCCCAACTCTTCAGACTAGGTAAAGGCACAACATATGGTGGGAACAAACGAGTTTTATCTGCACACAAACCTTTCCCTATCTAGACAATGTGCTATATAAGTAAAACATGTAATAAAAAACCTGTGCAAGTACAGCTACCAACATGAATGACTACCAACTTGAGCAAGGGTCCTTGATTCTGCACCTAATTTGGAAAGCACGGTCAAAATATGCTCATTACTACAGAGAGCAAACTAAAAGAGATTGGAACGATACCAAGTCAACATTCAAAACTTATAAGCTAAATGGAATCTGACAACGCCATGGCAAAAAAACCAAAAGAAGGTGAAAAAGACAATTTAGTGTACAAGAAACTTTACAACAATCTAAATACTGAGCAACATGAACCCCACCAAAAATTAGGGTAGACACAGCCAAAGTTTGAATACTGCCTCTCAAGAAAACAAAACAATCAGAAACAAAACCCTTTTATAACATGTAACATCATCCTAGATTTTCTATTTTAACATTTACTATTTATGATGTTAGCCATACATGTTCTTTGTAGTGTTCAGAATTTACAGAACTAAACCTCAGATATGTTTTTAACAAATTAATTATATTTTATATATTTAAGATGGCTTGTGTAATAGTCTGACAAATTTTTAGTTGATCATACATCTTTACTTTTATAGGCTCGAGGATTACATTTCAGACACACAGACAACATCAACCATTTCTTTATTGCCATGGAAAAAGTTGGTCTTCCTAAGGTATGAATATGTCTAGCCTTTTCTAAAGTGGCCAGTATGTGTATTGCATGTCTGTAGTGTATTGTGTATCTTATTACAAGTTTCCATATTAACATAAATTGAAGTTTGCTTATAATATGCAATATTAAAGTGAAGTTTGTTTTTTATGCCCCACCTACAAATAGTAGAGGGGCATTATGTTTTTCGGTCTGTCCGTCCGTCCGTATCGTCCGTCTGTCCCGCTTCAGGTTAAAGTTTTTGGTCAAGGTAGTTTTTGATGAAGTTGAAGTCCAATCAACTTGAAAATTAGTACACATGTTCCCTATGATATGATCTTTCTAATTTTAATGTCAAATTAGAGTTTTGACCCCAATTTCACGGTCCACTGAACATAGAAAAGGATAGCGTGAGTGGGACATCCGTGTATTAGGGTCCCTACAATGCACATAGCTGAGTGATTTTCCTGATCACACAGCAAAGTACAGTGATAATGAAAAAATGATCTACAGGACCAAGGTTTTTATTAAATATATATTAGCTTAGAGACAGAAATAAAGTTTACCTATAGCTAGAAGAACATTGACATGTTATAAAACACTACATCTATGTAAATTATTCATGTAGTATCGTAAACTGTCAATAAATATTCATTGATCAAAAAGGTAAAAATATAACTTAATTCAATAAATTATAGATCATTTCTGTCTCTCACAACAGTTTGATGTACATGATGTAGGAAATTAAAATGGCTGAAGACATTAATGACAATTACTTATTTCCTTTCCTACATCCTGTGATATAACTTGAGTTGATATACTCCTGATTATTTTCATTAGAAAAAATTAAACTATCCCTCTTCTGTTCAGATTATAGACAAATATGATTTCAGTTTTTCATATACAGATAAAAATTCAATGAATTGAGGACTGTAAATATCATTTTGGCAACTCTGTTAAGGGAAACATAGGTGTAGAGGAGAATATGACATTACATAATTGTTCATTCAGTTGTGTGACTCTTGCATTAAGCGTAATTATTTTTACAAAATATTGTTCCATTTCTTGTCAGTATATTTTGCACCCCCTGTTGCACTGGAAAAATGGAAATATCTAAAATTTTCTATTGCTACATGTATCAATGTGTCCATTCAATGGAATTTGCCTGTCTAGCAGAGGCTTAATTTGTTCATTATGGATTCAGACCCTTTTATTAAGATTTCCAGTCCTGCCTATGTAAAATTTCATGCAGTTTATACATGTTATACAGTATATTAAAATCTATAAATTTACATGTCATGTCATGTTTATATTCACTATGAATTTCTGTCCATTTTGGAAGTATTTTAAACTGCAGGTTTCAATGTAATTATTATGATTTATATATATAAGTAATCTCGTATGGACCTCTTTAATACTTTTGTGGTAGGTTTGATCTGCTAAGACATCAAGTGCCTATATATGTGCTACCCTTTTCATATATTTTGAATAAAAAAAAAATAAGATACTCCATACCTTTTATTTTTGACAAAAAGAAAAATAGACCTACAGCTTCATGGTTCATTTTCATGGAGAGATAAATAGTTTTGACAAATACCTAGTGCATTTACAACACTAGTACATCTTAATTAAGTACTACCAGATGATTAGATTTAGATTTACTGCTGATTTAATCATGCAACTGTAGCTACTAGTATATTTAATCTAAATTTCTTTTCATTATCATATATAATGAAACTACATGATAGACAACATGCCTGTAAACGGAACAGAGCATAGTTTAGAGAGCATGTTATAAATCAAAATTTCTTACCCCATCTAGTATACTTTTCATTTCAGGGGCAACCTCAATTCAATATTCAACATTGCCCTTGTCTACCTGACATTTCAGATCCTTCCAATTGATGTATTGTTAGGTTTATTCCTAAAAATGGATTACAAAATTGGACCTTGATCAGATTATGCAAACCATAAACAATCAATGAATCATGAAATTTTACTGCCAGATGTGGTTAAATTTCATGAGTATATGTACAAATATTCCCATTTTTGTGTTAATTGAAAAGCTTACAAGGCTCTTAATGAAAATTTCCCACAGATTCATCTATTGGTCAATCTATTTATTGCTAACCAAATGAAACTTTTCCACAGATTCATCTCCTATTGGACAATATATTCAAACTTTTGTCAGCTCTATTGTCCCATTGGTTAGATACAATAGCTATTGTTCTCTGTGTAGTTTATTCACTGGGACCTGTAAATTTCTTCTAAGAGACATCCATCACTCTGGTTGATTTACCTGAGTAAAACATTATCTTCTAAATAGATGAAAATACATGTTTTACTCTCACAAAACTGCATGTGATGTTGTATTTTTTCAATATCAATAATACATTTTTAATCTGTACAATATAGACGGGTTTATCTGTAATTGACCTAGAAAACATGGGCGCATCCATTAACCTCTCACATGACCAATCCGCCATTACAACCGTGAAAAATAACGCACGTGTATTGATCAAAACATTATAGATTTTCTGTTTACATTTGTATTTCTTTCATTTTCTGACTTATTTTACTATGGATGCTGCCAAAAGTTATAAAAAACATGGAAGCATTTCTTGTGCAGTTAATAGTTGTACAAATAATCGTAAAAAACTTCAGGTGTGGAAAAAATTAATATGCGAATTACACAACGAGTTGCACGATGACTGCTCTCGTTTGATTTCATATACGTCTTACGACTGTGATGCCTCCAGACGAGCCAACAAATCTGAGTGGATCAAAGCTGTATAAACCTAAAAAAAAACTTTGCATAAACAGGTTTTTGTATGGTCCGGACATTTTTTTTTAAATAAAACTTGTTATGAAAGTCAAATTACACTGGCTGACGAATGTTTACACGATGTAAAACGACTGTTAAAAACTCAAATTAATCTATAAAATTTAATCCGATGACTACAGTGCATATGCCTCTTTTTGTATAGAAGATCCACCGCGACATCAGATGCGGATCTAGGAATTTGAAAAAAAGGGGTGGGGAGGGCGCGTGCCCCAAACTTTTGTAGTGGAAGCGGTAAAATGTCTGGATTAACCATAAATGAAGCTAATAACAATGAAACCTACCCCGAGGCTACATGTAGCAATTGAACAGACATTCTGACACTATTAACTCAGACAAAAACATTTTTAACAGAGGAGTAAGGAGTTCAAAATTAAATAAAAGGAGGGGGACCTCGTCAGCCGTTTAAGAAATGATTATGAATGACAGTGACGCCTTATTGTATACTTATATAAATATGTTACTTAGTTTTCTTTACTTTAGTGGAATTACTACACAATTTAATTTTCAACTACGATATTGCAGATCAGCTGTTGCTCGATCGTACTGATGAGGTTAACACTTAGTTTGATATTTGGTTATTTGGGACGGCGCTTTTATATTTCGAAAAGTAAGGCTTGTAAAATATTTTATTCCTGGGTGCAGTTCTTGCTGAAAAACTTAAAGGTTATATATATATATATATATGTAGGTCTGTGTTCCGTTTAGTATATATTCACTTTATTTTCTTTATAAGACGTATACATTTACTTCTGTTGAATTAAACTTTCCTCAGTAGATTCTTCTGTGCATGAATTCTAAAATTTTATACATTAGAAGAATTTTTCAAAGGTCTAACTCTTGGTAATCAAATAGTTTACTAGAACCTACGAAAGCGTAGCTATAATCCGACAACCCGAAATTCCGACAGTTCAGTAAAATACACCCCTAATGTTATATTATACTACTGTATTTCACTGTATTATATACACCGGGGACTTATATAAGAGTCTAATACGGATTAAGGATGAAAATCTACGAGACCTCTGTTTTGGAGTGGTTGGGAGGGGAGTTGGCAAAACACTAAATGACGCTTCAAAACATAACTAATCATCGCTTTGAATTTACATGTTGGAGTCTTTGGTGGTTTAATGGCATTCATTTATATTAAGCACGGACTGGATCATGATGTTATATACTATACATACTATAGTAGTTGTATGTAAAGTATTTTTCTGCAAAAGAAATTGGAATCGAACACATAATAACTATAGGAATACATGGGCCGTGAAAGTTCAAAACTGCTTAAGCCCATACTCTAATCGCAAAGTTATATCTACATATGACCCGACGCATCGATAGCATATAGCGCAATTCATGCGGACACCAAAGTAATACGAAAATGTCACTCAATTTTGAGCATTATACGTGAGTCAAGCAAAAAGCACAAAACTCTCGTCTCTGTAGGTCCGTCTGATTAGTGGATTATTAAATTTTAGGACTGTCTCGTTATATGTCTGACCACAGAAATTTCTATGATTTGATAAAATTGTACCCTGGTTTTTCTGATATATCACATTCGACCGGTCAAGACTATTTATTTTTTATTTATGTATGTGTTATAATTACTAATATTATGATTACCAAATGATTATAATCGACATGTAACCTGGGATTAGTATTCGTATAAAATTTATTATGTCCCGCGTGTAACATATCAAATACAGTTATATTTTAAGGACACGACACCTCGCCTGCAATACACTTAGAATCTTTATCTAATTACTTTATTATTTATAGCACATATAATTTTGCCGCGGTCAAGTACGACTTCACATTCTTGTGTTTACATTTAATCATATGCGGTCAGGGCATATAGATCTATATCTTGTTTATATTTTTTTCACGGTTGTAATGGCGATCGTACTACAACGACGCCTAGGAGTCGCGTCACAAACTAAGGCAGATAATCGGAAAAACCTGTCTATAAACACTGATTTAATCATAAAAATTTGATTTCTGACATAAAATTTTTAGCATTGTTCCTATTGAAATTTGCATTTTTATGCCCCCGCAATAGTGGAGGGGCATTAAGTTTTACCCTTGTCCGTCTGTACGTACGTACGTACGTCCCAAAATTGGTTTCCGTTCTCTAACTTTAGTTTGCCTCAACCAAATGTTATGAAACTTATACACAATGCTTATTACCACAAAACACAGATCAAGTTTGAATTTTGGTAGGGTCACTTTTACCGTTCTAGAGTTATGCCCCTTTACAAATGGAAAAATTGCTGAATTTATCGTTTCCGTTCTCTAACTTTAGTTTGCCTCAACCAAATGTAATGAAACTTATAAGCAATGCTTATTACCACAAAACACAGATCAAGGTTGAATTTTGGTGGCGTCACTTTAACCGTTCTAGAGTTATGCCCCTTTATAAATGGAAAAATTGCAAAATTTTTATTTTCTTCTAAATATCAAGTAAAAATTTTTAAAATTGGAGTTATCTTCCTTTGTCCATGATTATAGTTGAATCAACTACAATCAATGCTTGATACAATGCAATGTTTAATTTTGACTTCCACTGATAAAACACAGATCAAGCTGAATTTGGGTAATGTCACTTTAACCATTATTGAGTTATGCCCCTTTATCGAAATGTTATGAGACTTACACACAATGCTTATTACCTCAAAACTCAGATCAAGTTCAAATTTGGGTATCATCACTTTTACCGTTCTTCAGTTATGTCCCTTTATAACTATATGATATGCAAGCGGGGGCATCATCTGTGTCCACATGTGGACACTATCCACATTTATTTTGTTTTTGGTTAGTTATAGAACACATTTAAGAAGGCCTTAATTTAATTATCATCATTTTTCAGGTTTTTTTTGTCGAACAAAAAAAAAATTTAAATAGGAACAATGTGTAAAATTTTGTCAGAAATCAACTTTTATTAATGTTTGAATCACTGTTTCCATTCAACAGAATGAAAATATATTATTGATATTGAATAAATACAACATCACATGCAGTTTTGTGGTAGGCAATAATTGGTGCCACATACATGTAAGTCCTCATTATATTGCATTGTTTCCTGACGGAAATCCACATGAACTATGTATAAAAGGTACACTTTGAAAATTCCCTTGTTTCATTATGGTGAGTTGTGAGTTGGACAACATGGCTAACAGAAGCTACATTAAGATTCTGATTGATCCTCACAAAACTACAAGGCAAACTTTCTTTGAGCCATTTCGGCATTGTTATTAAAAAGAAAATATCCAATAAAAAATGTTGAAAGCAAACAATATGCGTTCAGAGTTGAAAGCGTTTTTTATTTTTGTGGAAAAGAGGGATTTTGTGAGAAAAATTTCTACGAAGTTTGTAGAATTATTGCAGTCAAAGTTAGATTTCTTAATGTTTTTAATGAGCCCTTACCATAGGAGAGATATTATGTTTTTTTAAACACTCCCTACTATCAACTTGAAAATTAGTATGCATGTTCATAATGATTTGAACTTTAAAAAAATTGTAAACCATCCCAAATTAGGACTTTGACCCAGATTGTGTAGCTCCCTTAACATGGAAATGTGTTAATGCAAGCTGGGGGATAGTGTCTTGTTTTTGATGAGAAGAAAATTGGAAAAGAGTTTATAACCCTTATCAAAACTAAAATATTTGATGTAGGAATTTTAAATAGAGGTATCTGAATGCACCAAGATTTAAAATACTCTTATTAAATTTTCTATATACAGTCATTTTGCAGTTATGTCATGCTTCTTCATTATAAGCAAGCTATAAGTATGTAGATTAAAAATATATGATCAATTATTGCTATTTATGGTGAATAATTATATATAGTTCCCAAAAAATCTTTTTGTTGCATATGTATGAAATGCTTTATGGACTACGTCAAGTTAACTTTATAATTTGCTTTCTATGTCCTCAGGTTTAACATCTCTTATAAAGATTGACAAATTACATTAAAAAATTGACAGTCAAATAACTGTTAAATGTTAGATATGTAAATCTTCTTCAAATAGGATTTTCCTTATTAAATTATCAATAATAGGATTAGGTTTACATATATTTCTTTATTGATAAAATCTGTATGTACAATTAGTGAATGATCAGGTCATTGAACATTCTTGATATTAATAGAATTCATTTGAATGTCAATCATTGCCATTAGCAAAAATTGGAATGATCAAAATGACAATTAATATTGTAGACAAATTAAGTCACTGACTTGCTTAATGGTGTAGTGAAATTATTAAAATTAAAACGGTTGCTGTTTTTTTTACCACATTGGCCCTCTATGTGAGCTATTCTCATCATCTTTTTATACATTTTTCTTCTGATATCCATGACAAGATTTTAAGAATTAATCTCAACTTAAACCAGTCACACTAGAACTATTTGTTTTCTCACCAACAAATCAATTACTATATATCAACCAAATTTTTCAGTTTCCACAGTAATTGTTAATTATTTTACCTCAAGTTTACATTGAAGAGACCATGTTTATCCTGAATTGTACCTATATCACCTTTATATATGCCAATTTTCAACCAATGTGTAAAGTCTTGTAGTGACACATAACATGGAGAAGTCGACTACTACAAAAAGTAGCTCACGTTTTCTGAAAATTCAATAAGCATACTGTTAAATTGTTATGGAAATTTATGCACAAGTAAATTGTGGCTCAAAATATGTATCTCATTCAGCCAAATTTTCAGTCATGCAAATTCATTTGCTTTTTTAGCTCACCTATCCCAAAGGGCCAAGTGAGCTTTTCTCATCACTTGCGTCCGTCGTCCTGCGTCCATCGTCCTGCGTCCGTCGTCCGTAAACTTTTACAAAAATCTTCTCCTCTGAAACTACTGGGCCAAATTTGACCAAACTTGGCCACAATCATCATTGGGGTATCTAGTTTAAAAAATATGTCCGCCATGGCTAAAAATTGAACATAGGGGTAAAATGTAGATTTTGGCTTATATCTCTGAAACCAAAGCATTTAGAGCAAATCTGACATGGGGTAAAATTGTTTATCAGGTCAAGATCTATCTGCCCTGAAATTTTCAGATGAATCTGACATCCCGTTGTTGGGTTGCTGCCCCTGAATTGGTAATTTTAAGGAAATTTTGCTGTTTTGGATATCTTGAATATTATTATGGATAGAGATAAACTGTAAACAGCAATAATGTTCAGCAAAGTAAGATCTACAAATAAGTCAACTTGACCAAAATGGTCAGTTGACCCCTTAAGGAGTTATTGCCCTTTATAGTCAATTTTTAACCATTTTTCGTAAATTTTTGTAATCTTTTACAAAAATCTTCTCCTCTGAATCTACTAAGACAAATTTAACCAAACTTGTCCACAATCATCATTAGGGTATCTAGTTTAAAAAATGTGTCTGATGACCCTGCCTGCAAACCAAGATTGCCGACATGGCTAAAAAATAGAACATAGGGTAAAATGCAGTTTTTGGCTCATATCTCTGAAACCAAAGCATTTAGAGCAAATCTTACAGGATAAAATTGTTCATTAGGTCAAGATCTATCTGCCCTGAAATTTTCAGACCAATCAGGCAACATGTTGGGTTGCTGCCCCTGAATTGGTAATTTTAAGAAAATTTTGCAGCTTTTGGTTATTATCTTGAATATTATTATAGATAGAGATAAACTGTGAACAGCAATAATGTACAGCAAAGTAAGATCTACAAATAAGTCAACATGACCAAAATTTTCAATTGACCTCTTAAGGAGTTATTGCCCTTTATAGTCAATTTTTTACAATTTTCATAAATTTTGTAAATTTTTGTAAATTTTTACAAAATATTTTTCACTGTAACTACTGGGCCAAGTTCATTATAGATAGAGATAATTGTAAGCAGCAAGAATGTTCAGTAAAGTAAGATCTACAAACACATCACCATCACCAAAACACAATTTTGTCATGAATCCATCTGTGTCCTTTGTTTAATATGCACATAGACCAAGGTGAGCGACACAGGCTCTTTAGAGCCTCTAGTTTTTTTTTAGTAAAAAGCAACATTAAAAGCACTATTTCCTATCAAAGTAGGGCTACTTTTATATATGTTCTAAATGTGAGTGGGTGAATTGTTGGTGTGACAACTTAAGAGACATACCAGTTTACTAGTTCAAAGTCGTGTTTTGCTTTGATTTTGCTTTTTAGTCAACGTGTAATAAATCATATCATATCTTGTCATATTGGAACTTGTATTGGCAAAATTGAAAGCTCAATATAAACTGACTGTAATATATGACTCTAAGAGAGAAAACATTAAATTAATGAGTTTAATGAAATAGAGTCATCTTAACACTGATCTGTACATTTGGTCTGTAATTTGTTATCATGCTTACAACAGAGATTCTTCAAATTTGTGTAATTTTTAAAAACTTTGGGCTTGAAATAATTCCCCCCTCCTCTTTTAATTGTAAGATTTACAGACAAATAAGTTTAAGGAAATCTCTGATTCCTCATATGTTATGTCAAAAAAGGAACATGCATAAAGTGTAATTATTATTATTTGTTTTATTTTAATAGATATTTTACCCAGAAACAACAGATATTTATGACCGGAAGAACATGCCAAGAAGTATCTACTGTATACATGCGCTCAGGTAAAGAAATGTAACAGTGTATTTCTTAAATTTCAGTAGTTTTGATTTTCCCCTTTCCCACCTTACCAAATTTGCACAAGCGTATTTGGAAGTATGTGCAATATCATTTTCATGGTGCTTTTTGTTGGTTCATCAGTCTGTGTCCATCTCTCATTAACATTTCCTCAAAAACCAAAAAAAACAGATGCAAATGAAAGTTGTGTAAATGTCAACAATTCAGAAACAGAACAGCTTAAAGTAACCCTAAAAAGTATTAACAGAAATACCAAGGTGAAATAAAAAGAGGGATGTCCATATGCATAAAACTGATAAAATCAAACACATCAACTTATGGAAACAAATGGAAAACAATTGTCATATTCCTGACTTTATACAGGCATTTACTGAAGAAAATGGTGGGTTAAACATGGTTTTATAGCTAAATACACCTACCTACCACTTGTATGACAGATGTTTATAGTTTCTTTATATTGACAAAGTTATGTGAGCATCCCAATCAGACATATTTGGTTAAAATGACAATAATTTATAATTTGGATCCAGCAGTCAAAGCTGTGTAAACATGCATCACAAACACACAAACACATCTGAACTAAAAATTCAAACTAACATACAAATAAATCTGAGCCAAAATTGTAAACATACCCAACAGACATACAACACAACTGACTTACAAGTTCTGGGTAAAAATAAAAAATAATTGACTGGGGACAGGCACATGCAGAATGTGGGTATTGGCAATCCCTTGGCCATCTGTCTAACCTGGGACAGAGGTGTAGTAGCACACCGTTACAAACTGTAAAAATCAGTTGCAAAAGGCTTGACTCTTCAGATTGAAACGAAGCACAAAATACATCTGACAAAAAGACAAAAAACACAGTACCTATCTTAGAGTATTGGCAGTAACTTTTCTTTAAACTTAACATATCTTGACATTTCTTTATTCTGCTTGGGAAGAATTTTTATACCACCACAATGAAAATTGGGAAGCATGTTATTAAACTATTGGTCAGCAAAGGGGGGTAATTCAACATTTACAGTTTAAAGGTAGAGTTTGCAGTGTTCTCCCCAGGATTTTTTTAAGGCGCAAAATTCAAGGGCGCGTAACTCTTTTTTTAGAGTGAACGTTTGTGATCTGAAGCAATAAGTCATAAATCATGACATGCAATATGAATTATAATGCTTTGTGTTATGTGTTTAATAATGCAGAGTATTAATGAATTACAAGAATATATATATGAAATAAATTGATTTTAAACACAAAAGTTATTTATATTCAGTCAATTAAAGAAGTCAAAATATAAATATTCATCTCTACTCTCTGCTCCTTCTAGTGATATTGTTTCAAGAAAGTGTTATTTTGTTGGACAGTCTGTTCCTCAACTTTGTCTTTATCCTCTTCAGGGTTAAGAATTAAACCCCCACTCGCAATAACTTTTGCTTATACCCCCTTTAACATTTCTAAGCCATGAAAACTCAGTCAGCCACTTGTCATTGAAACCAGAAACATGGTGCTTGCTTTTATCAATTGCTAAAACTTGAGCTTGGTTGGGATTAGGAGAAAACATGAAATCTGCTTATACTGACAGTGTAGACGGAGGTGTATTCCCCTTTTCATTAGAAGTCATTGGTCTGAAAAAACTTCTACTTCCATCATCTACCTTTTGCTTATAATTCACCCCTTTGTTATTTGCAGAGAACATGTTCATTCAGAATTAATAAAATCGAATATGGTTAAGATATTTGGTATACAAATTTTTAAAACAATTTTTTTTATAAATGAACAGCTGACTAGTTTCCGTAGTTTCACATTATGCTTCCGTGCGTATTATTGTTTAATCCTATCTTTGGCAGATAGATATAAATGAAACTTTACAAATTTGTTAAAGTTAAAACCATTGAAATTATTTACCAGTGACATTTTACAGATGCTGCGGCGATTCTGTACCCGTGTTGATTGTCACATATTTCCCGACGCACGGATTCACGATCAATGTCAGTCAATGATCATTTTATTTCTAAAAATATGACAGTTTCAGACGAATTTACCTTGCAAGCAACACTTTTTCACTTTATTAAAGTAAATCACTCCTTGTTATCTTTAATGAAACTTTATTTTAATTTTTTTACTACTAATACTTTCATTCATAGTTTTCATCGTAAATATCTTTAGCAATGTGTATTCAAATTTATCATGTGTATTCAACACGTTCATTGGTCGTGTTTAAATAGATTCTTCTTCTCGACTAATGAAAAAATTCGTTATATAAATGGTCAAGTGATCACACACACGATGCGTAAATACAATGTATTTGCGATCTATTTCTTCAATTTCTGCACTGAAGTTTTTAAAATTTTTAATTTTCTTCAAAAAATATCTATCTTCTTGATGATCATTTACGCTATTACCTGATAACATAGTCCGATAAGATTGAGATAAGCGTGGCTCAGGTAAAACTTATTATCAGTTATTGCGTAACACTGACCGACCCATCAGCGGTGATCAGTAACTTGACAATTTTAACCAACATTTATAATGAAAATGTGAAAATTAACACGCTGCGGGATCAAGTATTATGGGACAGTGGCAAATTAAGACGCTGCGGGATCTACAAAAATATTATGAAGGCGCTGCGGCACCGCAGCGTCATATCGGTCTGGGGAGAACACTGGTTTGTTAGGAAAATGTTTTACAATGCTAATAGAGTTGGATATTAGCAAACTAAAGTTGCTTAAACCTGCTTCATTTGGACTCTGTTGGATAGTTGTCTATTAGGCAATCAGTGAACACCTCGTTTTATAGTCTTAAAATGATGGTTAGTTTTATTGAAAATGTGTTGCATATTTCTCCCACTGCATAGCATTGTACTCCTTATATTTTAATTAGTGAACAGTATTTTGTTGGTTGCCCTGCAAGTATGTCTTGATTGTAAAACACATATGATGCACAGTGGGCCAGCATGTTTCTAAATCACATATGATACAGTTCTCAGAAAGTAGAAAATCTACATCCATATAATTTGGTGTGCAGATGCATCTTGGAGGGATGTGCAGTAAAGTGATGCGTACATGTATCATATAAGATTTTTGAATGGTTTTGATTTTTAGCTCCATAATATAAGATTTCTATGTGCTTGTCCACTTCTCAGGTACTAACAGAGACTGATTAACTAAAATCTGTGTATTTTGTCAAGCATCAAGTTGTTCTCCCCACGTTATTTCATCAAGTAAATACTTAAAATGAACTTAAGATAGATAGTATAAATTATATTATTCATAATTTTGAAAGCTTGTGAATGCATTATTAAATTTTACACCTGTGCACATGTGTGGACTTCTTTTCAATTTTTTTTTGCTCATAACCTAAAATGGTATACCCTTGTCTGTCCATCCGTCTGTCAGTCATTCGGTCCGTCGCCAACACTTCGGTCAATACCTCATAAATTTTCATGAAACTTTGGTGAATTGTTTATATCTATTGACATAAGCTCCCTTTTGATTTTTATAAATTTTAGATTTTAAGTTTTCTGAGTTATGGGATTTTATTCATAAAAAAATTAGGGATTTTCCAGCTCTCTGACTATAACTCAAAAATGCTTTTAGCAATTTTCATGAAATTTTGGTGAATTGTTTTTATATATATTGACATAAGATCCCTTTTGATTTAAAAAAAATTCTGATTTCATGTTTTGGAGTATTGGGACTTCGTTCATAAAATAGTGGTGATTTTCCCGTTTTCAGACCATTACTCAAAATAGCTTTGAACAGTTTTCATGAAAATTTGGTGACTTGTTTATATCTATTGAAATAAGCTCCCTTTAGGTTTTATTCATAAATTTCTGGTCAAACAGTGCAGAGTTATGGAACTTTATTCGTGGAAAAATCGTAGGAAATTGTCTATTTACACACTTTGGATGGTTATAGAATTTTATTTGTTCAGATATCGAGGCCAGAAGCTTAGTTAAACTTGAGGTAGCCTTTATAGTGCCAAATTATTCATGTTTAATAGTGTCAATGGGTACCACTATGTGTGCATGTCTTAAGCTCACCTGGCCACAAGGCAAAGTGAGCTTTTCTCATCACTTGGCGTCTGTCGTCTGTCGTTATTGTTGTCTGTCAACTTTTACAAAAGTCTTCATTGCTAAAAATAGAACATCAGGGTAAAATGCAAGTTTTGTCTATCATCTTGAAAACCATTATGAAAAGAGAAAATCTGACTGGAGCAGAATTGTTTAGAATGTTGAGATCTACCTGCTGTTCATTTAAGTCTAAACTGTCAGACACCTTATATTGGAGTTATCGCCCTTAAATTTCATATTTATAAATTTTTTGACAAGATCTACAAATAAGTCAAGATGGCTGATATTATCAGACGACTTATTGGTACTCAAGTTTCTTTCTATCTATTATAGTTTTCAAGATATGCGGCAAAAATGCAAAAAATTGGTAAAAATCATCATTAAAGAGCAACAATTAAAGGAGTTTTTACTTAAGTTTATATATTCTGTTGGAACTCCATTATTGTTGGAGTTATTGCTCTTTAATGATGATTTTTACCAATTTTTTGCATTTTTGCCGCATATCTTGAAAACTATAATAGATAGAAAGAAACTTTTTGAAGCAAAAATTATCAACAAATCAAGATCTACAAATAAGTCAAACATGACTGAAATCCCGTCGTAGCAGAGGGGGCTTAAGTTTTACCCTTGTCCGTCTGTACGTCCGTCCGTACGTCCCGAAATTGGTTTCCGTTCTCTAACTTCAGTTTGCCTCAACCAAATGTTATGAAACTTATACACAATGCTTATTACCACAAAACACAGATCAAGTTTGAATTTTGGTGGCGTCACTTTAACCGATCTAGAGTTATGCCCCTTTATAAAAGGAAATATTGCAAAATTTTTAGTTTCCGTTCTCTAACTTAAGTTTGCCTCAACCAAATGTTATGAAACTTATACACAATGCTTATTACCACAAAACACAGATCAAGTTTGAATTTTGGTGGTGTCACTTTAACCGATCTAGAGTTATGCCCCTTTATAAAAGGAAAAATTGCAAAATTTTTATTTTCTTCTAAATATCAAGTTTATATAATATATTTTTAAAATTGGAGTTATCTTCCTTTGACCATGATTATAGTTGAATCAACTACAATCATTGCTTTATACAATGCAATGTTTAATTCTGACTTCCACTGATAAAACACAGATCAAGTTGAATTTGGGTAGTGTCACTTTAACCATTATTGAGTTATGCCCCTTTATAAATAGAAAGATTGCAAAATTTTTTAGTGTTTATTCTGTAACTGAAGTTTTCCCCAGTCAAACATTATGAAACCTATACACAATATTCATTACCACAAAACTCAGTAAGGATCAAGTATAATTTTTTTGTTTCAGTTCTCTAACTTGAGTTTGCCTCAACCAAATGTTATGAAACTTATACACAATGCTTATTACTACATAATACAGATTAAGTACGAAATAAGGTGGCAACACTTTTACCATTCTAGAGTTATGTCCCTTTATAAACATAAAAATTGCTGAATTTTTTAGTTTGTCTCCACCAAATGTTGTAAAACTTATACACAACCGTTCTAGAGTTATGCGTGTTTACAAATAGAAAAATTGCTGAATTTTTAGTTTCTGTTCTCTACTTAAGTTAGCCTCAACCAAATGTTATGAGACTTACACACAATGCTTATTACCACAAAACTCAGATCAAGTTCAAATTTGGGTAGCGTCACTTTTACCGTTCTTGAGTTATGTCCCTGTATAACTATATGATATGCAAGCGGGGGCATCATCTGTGTCCACATGTGGACACTATCCACATTTATTGCATATTATTTTGAAAACTATAAAAGATAGATAGAAACTGTATATAGCAAAAATTATCAGCGAGACAAGATCTACAAATAAGCCATCATAGCTGAAATCTTTAGTCGACTTGTTTTTTCAGTTATTTCCCTTTGAAGATGTGTTTACCATTTTTATTTTTTTAGTTTTTGCCTATTATCTTGAAAAATGTATTAGATACAAATGTAGATAGAAACTTTAAAAAGCAAAAATGATCAGCAGGACAAGATCTACATATACTTCAACATGACTGAAATTGTAGAGTTATTGCCTTTTCTTGATGATTTTTACCAAAAAATGTCTATTGTTGAAGATGCAGGTAAGTGACACCAGGGGGGAGGGTGTTCTATTTGAGCAGTGCTCACAGTATTTCTAGTTGATCATATAAATTCATTTAAAGCATAAAGGCAAGCTAAAAGGGTGATGTGCATATCATGCGCTCATGGCACAGCTATTTATTAGTTTTATCATTCAATCAGTTTAAATCATTTATTGATCAAATTATTTAGATGCAAACCAATTAAATATTAGAAACAATTTGAAGGTTAATTGGTTGATTGACAGCTAAGTAAACTATAAAGTAATGGACATCAATCATTCTTTTTGAAATTGTTTCTTATATTTATGAGGCAAACTAACAGTTACTCCAACCTTCTTTTTACACTTGCCTAACTTTATTAAGTTTATTTCTCAAATATTATTCCATTTTATTCCTTTTCACACTCAGATTTATTCTTATTTCCATCATGTCCATAACTATTCAATTATTATGCAAGGTTTCTGAAGACAACTTTTTGGACAATGTACATATTGTTATCATATATTACCTTTGATGATGAATTGTACTGCATGCTTTATTTGTTCTATTTTATTTTTCAGTTTGTTCTGCTTCAAATTAGGAATTGCTCCACAGATACAAGATCTTTATGGAAAAGTACAGTTTACAGGTGAGGTCTGGAAAACAGGTGCACATGAGAAAACAGTATTTTTTTTAGTATCTGCAATATACAGCTCTTTGGTATTATACATGTAAGCATTATCTTGGTTTACCAGCTGTGAAGTGAAATGCATATTTTCAAACCCTTTCGGGTCAATCTGATTTTTGCTCTGCCATTTTTGATTTGCTTGTCCCAGAGTGTAAGATAAGATAAACCATAAGAGGTCATGTTGAAATGGCCTGTTACTATCAATCATATTTTTACCTACAAAAGTTTATTTTTGACTTTTGTTTACAAAAAAAAATGTTTTAAAACAGGTAAACTGAAAATTGATTGATTGATTGATGATTGCTTTATGCCACATCAGCACAAAAAGGCTATATCGCAGCGATGGTAAACTGAGCAATATAGTCTGGTAATTTGATGTTGTAACCATGTAATTTCCTTGCATCATTCAGACATTATGCACCACCTGATTGTAAACACTTCTTGATTGTCCAAAACAGTTAATTTCCATGGTTATGTTCTATCTTTTTCACTTTAAATTTGAAGTTGATAAACATTAAATCAATATAATGGTAAAATTTTGTTTTAATTGTGTTTTAAATTAAAAATTATGTTTTTCAGGGAAAATTTATAATCAAAAGTGACAGTTTTCATCTATTTTAGGAGTTATTGTCCTTCTTTGTGGATTTTTTTACCAATTTAAACATTATTGCATATTAACTTTATTAATATAATAGATAGGCAGAAAATGTAAACATAAAAAATTATCATCAATACAAGATCTAGATCTCCACAAATACCATTATTACTGAAATAATCTATTGAATCTGTATACAAGTTATTGTCCTTAAATGGAGACTTGACTTATTGATTAGCAGTACAAGATCTGCTATCAAGTTGCATGACCGAGACTAAAAATTCCTTTCAGTTTTTGGTCTAAAATGACAATTTTTGCTAATAATTTTAACTTTTGTTTCAAAGATTGACCCAATTTAAAGCAACCTTTACATGAGTGATTGTACTTATTGCTCTAAATGAATTTTGATGAACTTAAGTGTTATTGGATGTTGAAAACAATGATGTAGAACCAGTAAACAACGAATGTTATTAACAGATTGAAATTGAGATATAAAATCATTTCTTAGTATATATTTGGCTTTGAGCGTTCCTGATGAAGGTAAATCCAGAAAAGCGATTCAGACACATGAAATTTATAACGTGTTGTTTTCATTTATTTTTTTAGTAGAGGGCCAATTTGATTTTGTGGTAGTGATTGTTTATTAAGAGTTAATACTAATACGGCCTATTTTTACTTGATAAGCAATTCAGACATATTTATAGAAATCAGGACAGAAAAAGTAGTAAGACCAGAACTAGAATCTTATTTTGCATTAGCCCCAGAGTCCCCAAAAATCAAATTGTTTCAATATATAATTTTACATTTTTATACGACCGCAAACATTTTTGCGGTCGAATATTGGTATGACGTTGGCTTCGTCGTTGTCGTCGTCGTCCGAAGACACATTGGTTTTCGCACTCTAACTTTAGTTTAAGTGAATGGAATTTTACCATAAGGTTCAATACCACAAAAGGAAGATTGAGATTGATTTTGGGGGTTATGGTTACCAACAGTTAAGGAAGTAGGGGCCAAAAAGGGGCCAAAAATAAGCATTTTTGTAACTTCCAGACTTAACTTGTGTGTAAGTGTATGGATCTCTCTGACATTGTACCACAAGGTTCCATATCACAAAGGGAATGCTGGGATTGATTTTGGGGGTAATTGCCTCAAAATATTAGGTATTAGGGGCCAAAAAAAGGGGCAAAAAACAAGCATTTTTCTAGTTTCATGACAATAACTTGTGTGAAAGTGTATGGATCTTTCTGAAATTGTACTACAAGGTTTTTTTCTTTTAAAATTTTCCATTTTAAGTTGGTTATTTCTGATTTATATTTAAAAGCAAATAATAATGATATGGTAGGAGATAAACACCAAACAGGATGTGTGAATTATTATATAATAAGTATTGTGCAATAGCAAGAAATTTTCAATTGCACAGTATTGCACAATAGCAAGAAATTTTCAATTGCACAGTATTGCGCAATAGCAAGAAATCTTCAATTGCACAGAATTGCGCAATAGCAAGAAATATCCAATAGCACAATATTGCGCAATAGCAAGAAATTGTCAATTGTGCAGTATTGCGCAATAGCAAGAAATATTCAATTGCACAGTATTGTGCAAAAGAAGATACTTCGTATAAATTGCTTATTTCTTGACCAATTTCAATGGGGTTTTATTCTTGAATTCTTGGGGTTCTTTAATATGCTGAATCTAACCCTGTATTAAGTTTTTGGATTTTGGGCCCCGTTTTTAAATTGGTCCACATTGAGGTCCAAAGGGTCCAAAATTAAACTTTGTTTGATTTCATCAAAAATTGAATTATTGGGGTTCTTTGATATGCCGAATCTAACCGTGTATTTAGATTCTTAATTTTTGGTTCCGTTTTCAAATTGGTCTATATAAGGTCCAAAGGGTCCAAAATTAAACTAAGTTTGATTTTAACAAAAATTGAATTCTTAGGGTTCTTTGATATGCTGAATCTAAACATGTATTTAGATTTTTGATTATGGGCCCAGTTTTCAAGTTGGTCCAAATCAGGGTCCAAAATTAAACTTTGTTTGATTTCAACAAAAATTGAATATATGGGGTTCTTTGATATGCTGAATCTAACCATGTATTTAGATTTTTGATTTTTGGGCCCCGTTATCAACTTTGTCCACATTGAGGTCAAAAGGGTCCAAAATTAAACTTTGTTTGATTTCTTCAAAAATTGAATTCTTGGGGTTCTTTGATATGCTGAATCTAACCATGTATTTAGATTTTGGATATTGGACCCTAATAGGTGAATGTCCAATTTAAAATTTTTAAGTTCTTAGACCACATTCATTCTGTGTCAGAAACCTATGCTGTGTCAAATATTTAATCACAATCCAAATTCAGAGCTGTATCAAGCTTGAATGTTGTGTCCATACTTGCCCCAACTGTTCAGGGTACGACCTCTGCGGTCGTATCAAGCTGCGCCCTGCGGAGCATTTTATTATAATTTCAGAAGAGGAAATAAGTGCCATGAGATCAGAGTTGGAAAAATATGGAATACAAATGCCAGCATTTAGTAAAATTGGGGGGATACTTGCAAATGAGGTAAAATTACTTTAAATTAAAAAATTAGAAAACTTTCAATGAGGTTATTGTCTTTGTTGGTTAGCAAAATATCTGCATTACTGTGAAAGTATTTAAATGTTTCATTGGCACTTCATATACAAGATGAAAATGATGGATGACTTTATCTTCCAATGGCAAAAGGCATATTCAATACAAGAACATGTTAATGTAATATGAAAATGAATCCTGTTTTGTGCTGATTTTCAAGTTTTTGGTTTGACCTGGCTGGGGATTGAACCCAAGACCTCTTGCACTGAAGGCAAGCTCACTACCATGAGACCAGCAACCTCAAAAACAAAGTTTGTGGTAATCTGTATAGAGGAATCATATTGTATGTCTATCAGTTTTGAATACATTAGTTGTCCATTATCCTAGTCACTTCAAACTTGGGAGTTTGATACATTATTGTAAGCAAGCATTATGACATGCAGAAATTTGCGTGCATTTATTATTGCAATTGTTGTACAATGAACATAAATGCTGAATGCAGGATTGATTATTGTGACTTTAGAATTTCTGCATACAAAAATGCTATCAAAATTGAAAATGAGTGTTTTTACCTGCGTCGCCGAAGGTGGAATAGGGTCTTAATAACCACTTGACTCTGTCTGTCCTTCCGAAAGAAAACTGTCATCAAAAGTTTTCTTGGCTTCTATGAAAGGGAATGATTTAAAATGTGGTCTACAGCTTTATATTGTTGAGTTGTAGTGAGTAAGCAGTATTTACATCTGCCATTTAGCCATTTCTTGTTTTCCAATTGTCTAAAATTTTACAACACTCATTATAGAAGGAAAAATTTCGTCAAACTTGAAAGGGAATGATTAGATATTTGATCTGCTGCTTGATAATGTTAAGTTGTAGTGAGTTAGCAATTTTTACATCTTCCGTGTAGCCACTTCCTGTTTGCAGATAGTAAGAAATTTTGCAACACACATTGTATAATGAAAAAAAATTTTTAAAACTTTTCTTGGCTCCTTTTGAAGTGAATGATTTTAATATTTGGTCTAGGAATGATCAGTTATGCTCCAGTATACATGTTACCTCAAACTATTGCATGCAGCGGCGGAGGTCTAGACCCAATATTGGTCTTGTTATTCATGTGCAACCTATCTCTTTGCAATTTTAACAATAATATAAACATCACAGACATTTCTGAATTTACAGTAACTCTTTTTTTGGGATAATTTCAGATGACAGTTGATGATGCTGCATGTAAGTTTGTCTTTAGTTACTTATTTAAGGGGTTCTTTTGCAGATTACTCTTTTAATTTCATTTAATATCTTTATTTCAAATTTTTTCTTACTTGTACTTATACAAATAAAGTATCCTGTAACTCCACTTCTATTTTGAACAAACGGTAATGTGAATATTTCTTTATGGATAACAGTTCATTTTTGGCTCTCTCTGCGGTGTGCGTTTAAACTATGTCGATTCTTTTTGAAAATCAGAGACAACTATTTAAATTTAAACAACTAAACCTTAAAGTGCTGGGTGTAAATTACAGGATAAAAACAATATATGTACATTGTTGTATATTTAAAATTTATTTGTACTTGCTACGAAACATGAGAAAAATCTGGCGAGCCTCCTTTTTCATCCCGTTTCTAAAGCTCATACAAATAACTTTTATATTTTCCAACAATGTACATATATTGTATATTTATATATGTGTTTAGTTTTGATATTATTAGATTAAATATCTGCCAACCAATTCATTTTCAATGGAAACTGGATTTATGATGCAATTTTTAGTGGAAGTTATTACTTTTCCCATTTGAAATTGAATGAAGTAACATGTTCTTTCCTGTTATTTATTACATTTGTTTCTTATTCAAAATCAATGATATTGAAATGATTATTATTTGAAAAATGGTCTTAATGTCAAAGTAAAACATGATTTTTTGCCATGCTTTTAATACTTTGACCACTGGAAATATTGATAAACCCAAACTTGTATTTTTCTGCAAGATTTTGTAACTTGCAGTGACAATTAATGTATTGAGTAGGCAATAATTTATAATAATACATTTAGCCTTTAATTTATTATTTGGTATGTTAGTAGTGTGATTTTAAACTAATACATACCATTGAAGGATACTTATCTTTTTTATTTATTTTTGAGCTTCTGACATTCCTTAGTATTATGTAAATTAGGTCACATAATAACATAATTGAGGTTCCAATTGTGGTAAAAAAAAATGCCTTATATACATACATACCCCTGCTGTTACCAGAATACATATTGATGTCTGTGAGAAGTGATCCTTTCACTCTACTCGACACCTTTTGTTATCCACAATATGATATGCTATTCCAAATTGATTCTCAATGTAAACAATTATCCATTGTCAGCTATTTTTAAAATGGCCACCAAAATATATAAAAATTTCAGATTGCTTAAATTTCAACTAAACTTGATATCTGTGTGTGCTGTAGAACATATCCCAAATTAACTCTTGGTTGCAAATTGTACAAAAAATGGTACTGTGTGAACATGTGTTGGTTTGTTTGTATTAGTATTAATCATTTGTTTCTTTGCATCACACAAAAATGTGCAAACAGGACTCAGTTTTCTATAGTTCATGTGTTTAGTTTATATCTCATCGATGTTTTCCCCACATGTCTCTTCATTCATGTGAACCAGCTGTTGCATCTGAAAAACAATATTTTAATAGCTCTTTGTTATGGTATTCTTTTCAGTGCATGCTGCCATTATTGCAATAAATGAGGCAATAGACAACAAAAATTCAGAAGAAACCATGACAGCACTTCAGAACCCCTCAGCATTGTTGACTCAATTGCATGGCGAAAGTGCTGAGAAATATCAAAATTTGTTGTTTGCAGCAAAGGAAACTAAAGCTGAAGCAGCAAGAAACAGGGTTTGTAGACAAGTTTAATGTAGAGGATCTAGCATGGATCAGGATAAATATCTTAAGATTTATTATGCCCTTGTCTGTCTGTACGTACGTCCCAAAATTGGTTTCTGTTCTCTAACTTTAGTTTGCCTCAACCAAATGTTATGAAACTTATACACAATGCTTGTTACCACACAAAACACAGATCAAATTTCAATTTTGGTGGCATCTCTTTTACCATTCTAGACTTATGCCCTTTACAAATGGAAAAATTGCTGAATTTTTCGTTTCCGTTCTCTAACTTTAGTTTGCCAGAACGAAATGTTATGAAACACAATGCTTATTACCACAAAACACAGATCAAGTACAAATTTGGGTTGTGTCACTTTTACAGTTCTTGAGTTATATCCCTTTATAATGTTATATTCAAAGGGGGGGGCATCATCTGTGTCCCATGGACACATTCCCCATTTATATGTGGTCAAACTGTTTGAATATGGGCCATGGGCTTCATGATTATTTTGTAGCCGCTTCTGTGCCCAAATCTTTCACCATTACAGTGAGTGCCACAGACTGGTTCAGTAATTTTCAAAAGTAGTAAGAACTATACTCATATGTGATGTTTTAGTCAGTCATTCATGAAAGATCAGTGGTTGAAGATGATTCAAGGTATACCTGAATACCTGAAAGAGATCACAACCCCCTTAAAACAGTTTGATGCTTGATGAAAAAATAATAAAACAGCTTCAATAAAATGCACAGCAGACACCATGGTCAGTTTTATAAGGCCCTAAAAACAAGCAAAAAAATTGAATAACACTTCTTACCCCCCAAAAATATCAAAATTTAAATTTGTAAAACCATTTACTTATACAGTATCTATATTGATCTTTTTGACTAGTATAATTTTTATGCCCCCGCCGTAGCGGAGGGGGCATAAAGTTTTACCCTTGTCCGTCTGTACGTACGTCCGTCCGTACGTCCCGAAATTGGTTTCCGTTCTCTAACTTGAGTTTGCCTCAACTAAATGTTATGAAACTTATACACAATGCTTATTACCACAAAACACAGATCAAGTTTGAATTTTGGTGGCGTCACTTTAACCGATCTAGAGTTATGCCCCTTTATAAAAGGAAATATTGCAAAATTTTTAGTTTCCGTTCTCTAACTTAAGTTTGTCTCAACCAAATGTTATGAAACTTATACACAATGCTTATTACCACAAAACACAGATCAAGTTTGAATTTTGGTGGTGTCACTTTAACCGATCTAGAGTTATGCTCCTTTATAAAAGGGAAAATTGCAAAATTTTTATTTTCTTCTAAATATCAAGTTTAATAATATATTTTTAAAATTGGAGTTATCTTCCTTTGACCATGATTATAGTTGAATTAACTACAATCAATGCTTTATACAATGCAATGTTTAATTTTGACTTCCACTGATAAAACACAGATCAAGTTGAATTTGGGTAGTGTCACTTTAACCATTATTGAGTTATGCCCCTTTATAAATAGAAAGATTGCAAAATTTTTTAGTTTCCATTCTGTAACTGAAGTTTTCCCCAGCCAAACATTATGAAACCTATACACAATATTCATTACCACAAAACGCAGTAAGGATCAAGTACAATTTTTTTGTTTCAGTTCTCTAACTTGAGTTTGCCTCAACCAAATGTTATGAAACTTATACACAATGCTTATTACTACATAATACAGATTAAGTACGAAATTAGGTGGCAACACTTTTACCATTCTAGGGTTATGTCCCTTTATAAACATAAAAATTGCTGAATTTTTTAGTTTGTCTCAACCAAATGTTGTAAAACTTATACACAACCGTTCTAGAGTTATGCGTGTTTACAAATAGAAAAATTGCTGAATTTTTAGTTTCTGTTCTCTACTTAAGTTAGCCTCAACCAAATGTTATGAGACTTACACACAATGCTTATTACCACAAAACTCAGATCAAGTTCAAATTTGGGTAGCGTCACTTTTACTGTTCTTCAGTTATGTCCCTTTATAACTATATGATATGCAAGCGGGGGCATCATCTGTGTCCACATGTGGACACTATCCACATTTATTTCAAACATTAAACATAATAATTCCAAGAGATGGAAAGACGCTATATTTTCAGCATAGCTTCAAGTTTTAACTGAAGATTGTTTAGGGGTGTATTTGGTTGCATATTAACCAAATATTTCATTAAGTAACACCTCAAACTGGGATCTATGATGAGTTTATCTTTACTTTTGCATACATTTGTAAATTTTAAAATAAAACATTTTGTCAGTTTAGTTAATTACACTTGAACAAGTTCTCAAAAAGACCATTTTGATTACAATGCAGATGAAAGCCCAATCAGTATTTATGAGTATTCAGTTTGCAATCACATACCTGTAACAACCCTTGAAAAATTTATAGCATAAAGTTAAAAGAATGGTTTTGAAGGATTATGTTATCTTGAATTAATTTTTTTTTACAGAGTTTGGACAAGAATTTAGAGCATGATGTTTATGATGAGTATCTAACACAAGCTGAAATTCAAGGAAATGTTAATAAAATTAACAGTAAGTCGTGAATTAGTTTGCATTATTTGAAATTTCTAAGCATATGCAAGATTTACAGAGAAAGATGAAAATCAATGTTTATTCTTGCAGTTTTATATTTATTAACAATTGCTAAAAAAAATAATTTGAATATTTACCTGTTTACGTACAAGAACTCTTATTACAAAGATTTTTTTTAAAGAACTTATTTTTTTATGTTAGTTGGTGGTCAAGTCTGTATCTCAGATACTATAATCAATAGGTCAACTAAATTTGGTGTTTAGAATGATTGTAGGGTGTACATGTCTGACTGGCAGGTTTCATCTGAACTTGACCTTTATTTCATGGTTCATTGAACAATGTTTAGTTTTTGTGATTTGGTCTATTTCTCAGGTACTCTTAAGCAATAGGGTCACTATATTTGGTATATGGAATGATTGTAAGGTGTACATGTCTCTCTGGCAAGTTTCGTATGACAATGACCTCATTTTCATGGTTCAACGGTCAGTGTTGATTTTTCATGGTTTCATCTGTTTATCAGATACATTAAGCAATAGGTCAACTATATTTGCCAAATGGAATGATTGTAAGGTGAACATGTCTGTCTGGCAGGGTTCATATGATCTTGACTTCAACTATGATTAAAGAATAAGCAGGAAAGACATTTCAGCGTATGCACTCTGTTCTACTCCTTCACAACCATAAAAGAAACCGATTATTTTTTTTGCAAATTGCTTGTTATATCCTCAGGATATTTTGAGAAATTTTTACCAAGGCGATACAGAGATTCTGTATGAGATGTATTCCCCCCTGCTGTATTTGATATAAGTGAAATGTATTTGTAACTGGCAAACCATAAGTGATAGAGACCTAGGGTCTTTTGATTTGAGGTCCTTGGTCCACCAAAAAGAAAATGAGTTCAAGGTCAAGGTCATGATCCAAATTTTGATTTTGGCTTATCACATCTGAGAAACCTTACATGATATGGACAAAATATTTTTACTAAACAGTTAGTTTCAACATGTCGTAACATATATAATTTGTTTATAAGGGGGCATTGACAGTTAATGGGAGTTTTCTCCCTTCTAATGTTTAAAATTTGCTGTATTGTGATATAGCTCATTAACCATATATAGAGGAGACTCAGGGATCTCCATGACCTGTTTTATGATGGTGCACCACCATCGTTGAATTATATCAGCAATCGTTAAATGATCCCTGCCATTATAAAATTATCTTCTGCAATCGTAAAATGATTGAAAAGTGTAGTCAAAATTTGCTTTTGTGTCGCTAGCCATTTCCATTTTTGTTAGCAATTAAAATCAATTGCATGTAATTACATAACTCCTAATGTATTATAATCCAAAGGGTCCTCCTGATTACTGTTTTAAAGCCCTGACTGATTTCCGGCTAATGATAGCTAATCATTTGTACGGGTTGTTCGAGACAGCTGACAAGAAGAGAACACTGGATCAAGAGAGATGATTAATTGCATTTTTTCATTACTTTTCAGCTAATGCTTATGAAAATTTAGATTAGAAAATAAAATTTAAATTCAATTACGAAGAAAAATGTTTAACAAGTTTAAAGGGGCACTAGCTATGAGATATATAAAAAATTCAATGTATGATTTTTTTTGTTCAATCATTAATGAAAGTGAAATAGTGAAATAATAATTCCCTTTTAGCAGCCAATATGGTTCAATTTTGTCAAATTAAGCTAAGAAACATTGATGATGAATTATTCACTTGCAATGAAATGTAGGAATGAAATATTTTCAATCACGACACACAGGATTTTGTCCTGTTTAGAGTTCCTCCATCATTAAATTTTCATCCATGGACATCACTGGAGACTTAGGGTCTTTTGATTTGAGGTCCTTTATTACCTTGAAATTTAGGTCAAGGTCTAAGCTAAATTTGTTATTCTAGATTTTGGCCTTTGCTATAAATTCATATTTATTCATGATGAAGCCATGGGGTATTGTATTCTGTAAGTAGACATATGACCTTGAAAAGGTCAGCTAGAAGTGAGTGCCCTAAACATTGTATTTTCGGAATCAATGTGAGATAAGCTATCCTACACCAGACAAACTATTTTAGCCAATTTTGTTTTTATCTTACTGTGGATTCATTATTATTCGTTTGTTTCCAATTTTCGTGGATTTCGTGGGTAAAGGTGAACTTATATGCAGATGTTGGCAAAACCACGAAATCAAATATCCACAGAAAAGCAGGTTTTCCTCAATCCACGAAAATTGGTACCCACGAAAATAAATGAATCCACAGTAAGTGGCCCAAGAACACAGTTATTTCGTAGTGCATTTCTTTTAGACAATAAAGTCAAATTAAAAAAATCGCACCTGCTCAATCTCAAAAAGATTTTTACAGTGTAGTGTACTACTATTGAGACAAATAATATCAAAATTATAGAAAAGTCTACCAGCTCTAACTCAAAATATTGACAATTCTATGTTAAGGGGGTTTAAAATTCAGTTTGACAGCTTCAGACGTACTAGTTTTTGACCTTTTTTAACTGGACCAAATCACTACTTAACATAAAGATTCAGCACCCAAATTTTTTTTAACATGTAACTTCATCCCCTTACTTAATATTTCATGCATAAAATATAAAGAAATAAATTTGGAAAGTGTATGAAAAAAATTTGCAAGTTATACACTGTCCACACTATGGAGTATGGACTATATTTGTAGACAACGAAAATTAAGGACGATAACTGTGTCCTCGGACCAAGTGAATTTGGATGGAAACCCTTCAATTGTTCTCTGAACAATTAGATTTTAATTTTGTAATTATGATTTTATCTTTTAGCTGTTGAGGCTTTAGTGAGAGTTGATGATGCTTTATCAAGAAAAGACAAAGATTTATTACTACAGCTGCTAAAGTCACATGATCTTGGTATTCATAACATCAAAGATGAAAATATAGACTTTTATATAGTACATCTGGATGAGGCCAGGGATAACAAAATGGTAAAGTATTAAAATAAACCACTTAATAATACAAATATATTATTATAGAAGCAATAAGAGACATCAAGAGCCAACAGATATGATAAAATAATAAAATATCAGCATGCAATTTTTGTTTATTTTAAGACTTTAACATAGCCATGAACTAGGTTCATGAGTACTCAAAACTCCCACTTTTATTTCAATCAATTTAGAACAAACTATGTCCAATTAAAATCAAACCAGACAAAAATCAGTTGGTGGGATTAAATCAGCATGACAGACCAATATAAAACTACACAAAAGCAACATTTTATATGACATAAGTAAGCTCAATTTTCTCATTCTGGATATGCATTAAATTTACCACTGGACATTAAATCGCCATCCATCCATCCATCCATCCATCCATCAATTTTACTAAAATCAAAGCCAAACACTTAATTTGTTGTAAATGAAATCTTGTTTTCATACACTCCAATATCTCATGGACTGATATACTATCATACAGCAACATCACAAATTGTGTCGAAACAATTATGTAAAGTTGACCTCTAAAAGTAATTATAAAATTAATTTTTCTAAAATATTTCACTTTCAATGCACGATTTCTTTTATAGATTATATACATTAAAGTTAATTTTAAAATTGAGGTGTATGTCTTAGTTTTATTGCTCCTGGGTGCTGATCAACTATTTTTAACAGTTATTGCCCCTTGAAAATAATAATTATATGGAAGTGCTTTCATGTACAGTTCTTACCAGTTATGATCCAACTTTATAGAAAGGTTTATATGAATAATTTTTTCTGTCAAGTTCTGAAGTCAGTCCTGATCAACTATATAAAGAGCTGTGCCCCTTGTGTACCTTATATCTAAAATTGCATTGTAAGCGCACTCATATGGACAATTCTTGACAGATTTTTATGAAATGTATACCAAAGGTTTATATCAGCAATGTCTGGAACAACTTCTAAAAATAGTGCTTATTAATTAAATTTTCAGGAGTTATGCACCTTGGAAATGATAAGTTTATGGAAAATTGCATTGTAGACACTCTCAAGCCTACATTTCTTTAAGATTATTAATATAAAAAGTTTTAAAGAACAAAAAAAAATATTTCTGTTAAGATATGTGCAGACAGGAGACATTGGAAAACAGTTCTTTTATTATATTTTAGGATTACTGTCTCATTCCCTACATCCCTTTTTACTCTACATTGTAGATAGGGTTTTCTAGGCACAAATGTATAGGAGGATTGTACACCAGATGATATATTTTTTTGGTCGTATATTTGTATCCTGTTGTCGTGGTCCGGTGTCGTCGTCGTCAGCGTCGTCCGAAGACAGATGGTTTCCGGATAATAACTTTAGTATAAGTAAATAGAAACCAATAAAATTTTAACACAAGGTTTATAACCACTGAAGGAAGGTTGGGATTGATTTTAGGGGTTATGGTCCCAACTGTGTAGGAATTAGGGGCCAAAAAAGGGGCCCAAATAAGCATTTTTGTAGGTTCCAGACAATAACTTGTGTTAAAGTGTATGAATCTCTCTGAAATTATACCACAAACTTCCATACAACAAAAGGATGGTTAGGATTGACTTTGGGGGGTTATGGCTCAAACCATTTAGTAATTAGGGGCAAAAAAAGGGGAAAAACAAGGGTTTTTCTGGGTAAAGGACAATTGAGACAATTTAAAAGCAGTGTAAGGGAGGTAATACAATTCAAATTAAAGAAGAATACTGTTTGAATACCTCCCTTACACTGCTTGTAAATTGTGTATTAAGAAATGATGATTGTCTTGAGGTGATTAGCTGTCAATTTATTTTTAGCAGTTACTATTAATTAATATTAATTTTAGCCATGACTATGTATGTCATTTTATATTTTTAAACTTTTATGATGTATTTAAATGGGTAATTTTGGTTGCAAACTGCATTAGAAATTTGAATTGAGATACTGACCATATCTTGAGGGAAAGATTTTTAGGGGGGAATAAGGGAAAGGGGGAGGTGAAAAAAATTGGAGGGGGGGGACAATTTTTCTCATTTCAGATTTCAGAAATTAAAAGAAAATTTCTTCAAATATTTTTTTGGGGGGGGGGGGGGGGGGGGGGGTTAATATTCAACAGCATAGTGTATGGCACAAAAGCAAAAAAACGGGGTAAAATAAAAATTTTTTGGTAGGGGGGGGGGGGGGTCAACAGCATAGTGTATTGCACAAAAGCAATAAATTGAATATAAATTCAAATCATATAACCAATTTGAAGTTCTTTGACTACAGTTATTCTGTGTCAGAAACCTATTATGTGTCAAAAATTTAGTTACAATCCAAATTCAGACCTGTATCAAGCGTGAATATTGTGTCCATTTTGGCCCAACTTTTCAGGGTTGGACATCTGCGGTCGTATCCAGCTGCGCTCAGCGAAGCAATTTATTCTTTATGTAATAGGGGTGAAGTAAATGCAATTCTGAGAAAACAATGTAGAATCTAATGATCTTTGATTTTAATAAACTTTGATGTCATCTTTGTTGTTCCTGGAATAACAATCAGCTTTAAACTTGAGCAAATATCATTTATTTAATATAACCACTTCAGTAAATAATCTTTATTAGTACAGAGGGTATTAAGTTTTATGGTTACATATATGTTTGTGTCGCCTGACAGCATCCACCTGGTGTCGACATATAAGCATGTCTTCGTTTGTCATCTTATCAGCCTTATCTGTGTCACATGTTTTTAATTTGCAACTCTTTCAAAACTGTTTGAGGGAATTGAATCAATACAGCCCAACTTGCACAGATTTTTTTTACACGACATGGAGTTATGCACCTGATATTTAAGTTATTGATCTGAGTGATTTTTATACGACCAGAAAAAATTTGCGTTCGTATAATTCTATCAAGTTGTTGTCTTCCGATGACATTTGGTTTTCAGACAATAACTTTAGTTTAAGAGTATGGATCTCTATGAAATCTAACCAAAAGGTTCAATACCACAAAAGGAAGGTTGGGATTGTTTTTGGGGGTGATGGTCCAAACCATTTAGCAAAAAGGGGCCCAAAATAAGCATTTTTCTAGTTTCTGGACAATAACTTGTGTATAAGTATTTTGATTGCTCTGAAATTGTACCACAAGGTTCAATACCACAAGTAGAAGGTTGGGATTCATTTTTGGTGGTAATTGCCCAAACCGTTCAGGAAAAAAGGGCCAAAACAAGCAATTTTCTATTTTTTAGACAATAACTTGTGTTTAAGTGTATGGATGTCTCTTCAATTGTACCACATTTTACAAAAAGAAAATTTCTTCATATAGTTTTTTTTTGAGGGGGGGATTTTTTTTTTTTGGGGGGGGGGGGGGGGGGTCACAATTTATTTTGCTAATTCTTTGCATATAGTCTGAAAACAGATTTACTAAGTATTGCGCAACAGCACAGTGTATTGCACAAAAGCAAGAAATCTTCAATTGAATATAAATTCAAATCATATAACCAATTTTAAGTTCTTTGACTACATTTATTCTGTGTCAGAAGCCTATAATGTGTCAAATATTTAATTACAATCCAAATTCAGACCTGTATCAACCTTGAATATTGTGTCCATTTTTGCCCCAACTGTTCAGGGTTGGACCTCTGCGGTCGTATCCAGCTGCGCTAGGCAAAGCAGTTTATTTGGTTTCAAATAGCATGAATTAGACATGGCCATTTTAGCTTATATCAGTTTGAAAAAAAAAAAAACGACAGAACTGCACATATTTTTCTTCAGGACATAAAAGATGTGCACCATCTATATTTTGATTGTTACCAAAACATTGACTTCCCCATTTCCGCATTTATCATTTGAAGACATCAGGTGACACATCTTCCATACATTTTCTTAAAAAAGAATGTGGTTAAATTGAAATTTGATATTTACTTTGCTTATTACCCTCAGTAAATAATATTGTTTTCAAAACTCATTAAATCCACTCATTTATCTTATTTTTATAATGATTTGAAAATTAAAATTTAATTAACAGAATAATAACACTGACAAAGATTCAGTTTTGGGAAAAGAAGAAATCCAGGAGGCAGTCAACCAAGGCAATCTGGATGCTGATGTTGAATATCAGAGTAAGTTTTTTGACTAAAATCAAAGCCATGTTCTAATTCGAATAGAACATGGGCTGCACATGATTGATGTCACAATTGAAATTGCAATGTTAGTTGTATTTTGAACAACACCGGAGATAAAAATGAACATTTGTGTTGGTGTTGCTAGCTAGGAAATTAAATAAAATCATTCTTAAAGTAAGTTTACATGTATCTGTTCATTTTTTATCGCAACACAGTTGATTTTCTTTATCATTTTGGCTTCATCAAATGAAAATGGCTGCTTTTCTAACGTTTGTCATAGGTCTGCTTTTCAAAGAACAAAAGTTCTAGAATTTTCTGTTAGAATCGAAAAAATTCTATCATGCCATGCTCTATTCTCATTTTAACATGGGTAGGCATTATATTTGTCAACATTTTACACCTTACACTCGGTATAAAGATATTGACAAATTTAATGCCTACCCATGTTAAAATGAGCACAGAGCATGGCATGAAAGAGTTATTTCTTAATTTTGGACTCTTTGTTTTCCCCAGGGTTGATACATTGAATTATATTGTTGGGGTATGCTTAGAACAACAATGCTTTTAGTTTTCTAAAAAAAAAAAGGTGAATTATGTGTGAGTTACTACTTTCATGGTAGAAAAAATCTGAACCAAATTATATTATTATACCCCACTCCTAGAGTGGGCCTTTATTGCAGTCACCTTGTTTATGTGTCCGTCTGTTCGTTCTTTCAACAAAAACTTCTGTCAATTTTTTATCAGGGACCACTGGACAGAATAACTTTATATTTGAACAAGCCAGTGTTAAGTTGTTACATGTGAGCATTTTTCAGATCTGTTAGTACCCTACCACAAGTTTCTGATTCTCTGGATTTTTCAATATTTTGAATGAAAAATATTTTCATCACACTTTTCTCAGGAACTGCTGAACAAAATGATTTCACATTTGGTCTGCAGCTTGACTATGATGAGCTGTAGTGTGCTGCTTTTGGGAACTGTCAGACACCAAATTCCTCTTTTCTGACACTTTGAATTACGAATAGGGGTAGCAGGTAGGCTAAGCACAACAATGCGTGCAATTTCTAATTGCTTCAGAACAATTTATTACAAAAAAAACTGAAAATAAAACTCATATTTTACAGGAGCTTTAGCAGTAACAAATATAAATCTAGCAATAGCAAATGATGAAGTAGATCATTTGGTGAAGGTTCTACAGAGCCCATCGTCTCAACTTCCTCCAGTATTTGATACAGCTGGTTCCTTATATATGGAAGAATTCAAAAATATGAAAGATGAAAAACAGGTAAAATAGAATGTTCAGTTGAATGATTTTATAGTGTAAAGCAATGACTCATTTCCTGCATTTAAGTCATACTTGATTCAAAGCTTTATACATCCAAAGGTAATTCAGATGGTTGATTAATATTTTGTAGGCAGATGCCTTCTGGTCGTAAGTTTCCTTTCTGCATATTTCTGTTGTCCTTTACTTCATTTTAATTGTTCAGTGACTGCTTGAAAAAAATAAAAATTATTGTGTTGCCTTGATGTTGGGTTCAGGTGGTGGTGGTAGCGGCAGTAACAATTTGTTAAAAAGTATGTGATTAGGTCAATTTAAAGGGGAACAACTAATTATAAATATATATTAAGAAAATTTGGTATGCAATTGTTTAAGCATTGGCAGATATCATTTCCATGGAGATAATTTGGCATGATAAAGTTTATGATTAGGTCAGTTTAAGGGAACAAATAATGGTAAGTCAATGATATTTGGTATGCAGATGTTTTAGCATTGGAATATCTTATTTCCTAATTGTTTATTTGACTGTAACTTCAGTCATTGTTCATTGACTATGAATATTTGCATATTTTTCATGTTAAAGTATTGCTATTTTAGTTTCAACATAGGCATTTTACTATATGTCAAAAGTTTATTTATAGCATGATTTTTGTTAGGCCTGACTAGAGACCAGCATTCCTTAGCTACACATAGGCATTACTTCCGTTGTCATTATTTGGACATCTGTGTTGTCAGAGTAATGCTCTATATAAATCTGTAACTCCTTGAAAACAAGTGGACAAAATTCAACCAAACTTGTTGCCATTTTGTCATGTCAGGGCCTTTTTAGAGCTGACTATAGGGTATAGGTTTTGCTTATTATTTATAAGCCTTATTGTGAGCTAAATTGCTAACATTCTTGTCATTTGGACTCTGGTGGGTATTTGTTTCATTGGCAATCATACAATATCTCTTTTTGTCCCCTGAATGACACTTAGAAATACCATGCTTTGTTTGTCTGTCCTATCTTGTTAACACTCTCACATGTACAATACTTGCCAGATTGTTATGAAATTTGTATCAAAGGATTATATCAGCTAGGTCTTAGACAAGTCCAAAAGTCAGTTCCAAACAACTATTTTTATGCCCCCGTCATGGCGGGGGGGGTAGGATTAAGTGTTATCCATGTCCGTCCGTCCCGAACGTCCCAAAATTTGGTTTCCTTCTCTAACTTTAGTTTGCCTCAACCAAATATTGTAAAACTTAAAAACAATGCTTATTACCACAAAACACAGATCAAGTTTGAAATTGGGTGGCGTCGCTTTTAACGTTCATGAGTTATGCCCCTTTATAAACATAAAAAATTGCTAAATCTGTCGTTTCCGTTCTCTAATTTTAGTTTGCCTCCACCAAATGTTATGAAACTTATACACAATGCTTATTACCACAAAACACAGATCAAGTTTGAAATTGGGTGACGTCACTTGTACCGTTCATGAGTTATGCCCCTTTATAAATGGAAAAATTTGCTAAATCTGTCGTTTCTGTTCTCTTACTTTAGTTTGCCTCAACCAAATGTTATGAAACTTATGCTTATAATCACAAAACAATCTTAATTACGTGAATCCTCGACCTGTATGTGGAAGTTGACGCATACATTTTTACAAGCGGGGGCATCTGTGGCCCATAGACACATTCTCCAATTATTTAAAGGAGTTTTGCCGTTTGGAAATATAGATTATAGGGAAAATTGCATTGTAAGTGTCTAAATGAAGGTCAAGTTCAATTTTCACGATTTTAGCTTTTATCGTTGTTGAGTTGTAGAACTTTAAGTAGCAAAAATTGATACTTAGAGCATTGTCTGTGCAATAACTTGAAAACACTTTGACAAAATCTTTTCAAATTTAGATATGTTGTTTCCTGTGACTAAATGAGAGTCAAGTTTGATTTTCATGATATTAGCTTTTATCATTGTTGAGTTGTAGACCTTTTAAGTAGCGAAAAGTGATACTTAGAGCCTTGTCTGTGCAATAACTTGAAAACAATTTGACAAAATCTTTTAAAATTTAGATATGCTATTTCCTGTGACTAAAATCTGACAGCCTCTTGTTTTTAGTATTTTGACAATAATACTGGTACCTTCCTACAGAAACTTCTTATATTTGGTAGGATTGACTGACATCATGTGTAGTTGACCAAGATTTGTTCAAGAATTAGAATTACTTATAAGAGATAATATTTTATGTTTCTGAAGTAAATCTTTGTAATATGTTTTTTCTACTTCATGCTCATCTTAGGTTTAACTCTCTATATTTTCATATCTTACAGGATGATTTAGATTATGATGAAATTTATGCTGCTGTAAAAGGTAAGAATGTTGTACTCTCCTTAAGAATTAATAACATCAAAGAATGTAACTATAGGTCACCTTGTCCTTGACATGCTGCCTCACAATAAAGTAAAGGTCTTAGAAAACATGAAATAAAAAAGTTCACAGAATGTTGGATGAATTTAATTACTTAAAGTCTTGATAATATTGAATTCTGTAGTCAAAATGTTTTATTCCTGTAATCTGATATATAAATGTTCTACGTCTGGTCTTGATATATTTTCAACAGTATGCTGATATTGGTGAGCATATATGACAAAGTTTTATCCACATGTAGATATCAACCAATACTATTCAGACAATTCTGGTATATTAAACAAGTGATAATAGATTGTTGTAGAAATTTTTGAAATAAGGAAAATAAAAAAAAAAAAAATCACTAACTGGAAAAAAAAAGAAGAAATTACTAAAAGTATACTTGTCTTACCTGGCTGGCATGTTTAAAGCCTTCCTAAGTAGGTCTACAATATTGCACCCTACTCTAGAAGTGGGGGCTTTATTGCAATCACATTATCCATCTGTTCACTGGTTTGTCTGTGTTCGTGCAACAAATATTTTTGTCAGATATTAGAATGACTTCATATTTGGTCAGCAGCTTCACAGAGTTGTGTAACATATGAGCCATTTTTTGACCTGTCAGATACCTTTTTCTGTATTCTGATAATTGAATTACGAATGGGGTATGCTTAGCATGACAATACATGCATTGTTGTTTTGTTATGCCCCCGCCGTAGTGGAGGGCGCATTAAGTTTTACCCTTGTCCGTCTGTACGTCCGTCTGTATGTCCCTAAATTGGTTTCTGTTCTCAAACTTAAGTTTGCCTCAACCAAATATTATGAAACTTATACACAATGCTTATTACCACAAAACACAGATCAAGGGTGAATTTTGGTGTCGTCACTTTTACCGTTCTAGAGTTATGCCACTTTACAAATGGAAATTTTTTCGTTTCCATTCTCTAACTTTAGTTTGCCTCCACCAAATGTTATGAATCTTATACACAATGCTTATTACCACAAAACACAGATCAAGTTTTTAAATTGGGTGACGTCACTTTTACCGTTCTAGAGTTATGCCCCTTTTCATTCTGTTCTCTAACTTAAGTTTGCCTCAACCAAGTGTTATGAAACTATACACAATGCTTATTACCACAAACTCAGATCAAGTATGAATTTGGGTAGTGTCACTTTTACTGTTCTTGAGTTATGTCCTTTTATAACGTTATATGCAAGCGGGGACATCATCTGTGCCCCATGGACACATTCCCTATTTATTTAAGTTTAATAAATCTAATAAACTAATTGTAATCAATATTTTACTGCATTTGTCCACCTGTACACAAATTTTATTGGTAGCTAAAATGAAGTAACATAATTATATTTATACATTGTTAACATAATTATATCTATACAGTAAAATATATTAAATACAATCAGACTGAAACACTTGAAATCTCACACATTCTGTTGCTATAGATATTATTTTGAATAAAAGAAATTCATGATGTTGATGATGGATGAAATAATATCTCATAACCTATTGATAAAAGGACAATAAAATGAAATTGAGAATGGAAATGGGGAATGTGTCAAAGAGACAACAACCCAACCAAAGAGCAGAAAACAGCCGAAGGTCATCAATGGGTCTTCGACACAGCGATAAAATCCCACACCCGGAGGCAGCCTTCAGCTGGCCTCTAAACTTTTATGTGTACAAGTTAGTGAAAATGGACGTCACACTAAACTCATAAATGAACCTAAATTTAAAAACCATATAAGACTAACAAAGTCCAGAGGCTCCTGACTTGGGACAGGCACAAAAATGCAGCAGAGTTAAACATGTTTTGTGAGATCTCAACCCTCCCCGTTTGCCTCTAGCAAATGTAGAATAAGCAAACACATGTACTTTTTATTTGCATTAACCATTATATTATGGTTGAAATAATTAATATTTGGATAATTAGTATAAAATTAGAAATCTGACCACGGCAAGAATATTTATAAAAAAAAAGGAATATGACAGAATATGTCTTTTAATATATAAGTGATTTGGCTTCTGTTAATTAGGTGATTTAAGATGATTGAACAAATACTAGATATTTAATGCAAAATGAAATGACCTGTGCTCCATTTGTAAATTGTTTATGTACAGCATGTACACTGTAAAAACTTTAAGTTTGTTTAGTGAGGATTAAATAAATCTTATGTCTTGTTGAACAATTTTAAAGGCATATTAACAGACTTAATTGGAAAAGGCAGTAAATTTTCTGTTTATTTTCCTGTTGTCTGAAATAAAAATAGTATTTTGAACATCAATGTGATTGCATCATTTCCTGTCTTATCTCTTATATTTATAATACTCCTTACTAAGGAGAACTTTGATGTGCACATAAGACATACTTATTATACCCCACGCAACGAGTTGCGGAGGGTATAATGTTTTTGACCCGTCCGTCTGTCCGTCCATCAGTCCTGTTTCTTGTCATCGCCACTCCTCTCAAACTACACAACAGAATTTCACGAAACCTTTTTAGATAATAAGGACATACTATGTAGTTGTGCATATCGACAGGAAATTACGATTTAATTTTTTTTCTAGGAGTTACGCCCCTTTGAACTTATTTACTTCAATGTACTACTGCAACAGTTTGTCATCTCAACTCCTCTGAAACCACACAACAAAATCTCATGAAACTTTGTAGATAATAAGGACATACTACGTAGATGTGCATATCGACAGGAAATTACGATTCAATTTTTTTTCCAGGAGTTACGCCCCATTGAACTTATTTGCCCAATATACTACTGCAACCTTTTGTCATTGCAACTCCTCTCAAACCAAACAATAGAATTTCATGAAACCTTTTCAGATAATAAGGACATACTACGTAGATGTGCATATCGACAGGAAATTATGATTCAATTTTTTTTCTAGGAGTTATGCCCCTTTGAACTTATTTACTTTAATGTACTACTGCAACAGTTTGTCATCTCAACGACTCTGAAACCACACAACAAATCTCATGAAACTTTGTAGATAATAAGGACATACTACGTAGATGTGCATATCGACAGGAAATTACGATTCAATTTTTTTTCCAGGAGTTACGCCCCATTGAACTTATTTGCCCAATATACTACTGCAACCTTTTGTCATTGCAACTCCTCTCAAACCAAACAATAGAATTTCATGAAACCTTTTCAGATAATAAGGACATACTACGTAGATGTGTATATCGACAGGAAATTACGATTCAATTTTTTTTCCAGGAGTTACGCCCCTTTGAACTTATTTGCTTCAATATACCTCTGCAACAGTTTGTCATCGCAACTCCTTTGAAACCACACAACAGAATTTCATGAAACTTTGTAGATAATAAGGACATTTAATACAAACAATATTGTCTTGTAGTTGTGCATGGTGTAAATTTTGTGTTGTGTAACAATTGTTGTCCAATAATGTAAACATACATTTTGAAGGTTTTTTATTGGTGGTGTTTTATCTGTAATTGTCTCCTGGTATGTAAATATGCATATAATTTTCTGTTTGTATGGTAATGAAACAAATTCTTATAGATCCAATGTTTTCTTATTTCTGATGTATTAAACTCTCTTAATAGCCAAACTCAAATATAAATCACAATCCACAAAGTCCCAAATGGTGAGTTTTAAGTCAAAAGTAAATTGTAACAAGTCAAAATTTTATAAACTCACCATCAGTGAAATTGAGCATTATGGATATAAACCAACTCCCTAATAATGAAATGTTAGCATAAGTAATAAAGGGGGTATCTGTGTGTAAACCAAAACATAGTCCCAATAAATCATACTGGCTCAAAGCAGACAAAACTTTCAAATGAATAATATTTATTAATACAATAAACTCAATAACAAAATATTTTGGCCCTTGAGAAACACTCAGCATAATTAAGAATTTAGGAGCTCCTGCCGAGCAAGTCAAATAGCAACCTGTAGTGTGAGGAAGAACCTGCCTGCCCGACAATACGCCAGCCGGGAATGTGAAGCGAGGGGTCTCCACGAAGGGGATGAGACTAGGCGTCTCATCTGCAGCCAGGGTGTGCAAGGTCTGCATGGGGGATAGCCCATGTGGTGCTATTACAAGTAGTAAGTAGCAGGGTCTATCAATCTGGCGCTGGAATAAATTTGATAAAATTTGTCCCCGAAATGCTTGGGGATGAATGAAATTTTAGAAATGACCAGTGATAAAATTCCATCAAGGAAAACAAGTTATAAAATAAAAAAAATATCACTGGTAAAAGCTGAGATGTTCCTCATGTCATGAACATTATTGAAGGTGTTTGGAAGGGGTTGGTGGGTGGTAAATTGAATTCTAGCACTGTAAAACTGTTAAGTTGAACTTAGTTTGACTGCTTTGAACCAAGAAACTGATTGCACAAGACCATGCATATGGCTTAACACACAGATTTTGGGTACATCAATCATCTAGTGGGTGGAGACTGAAACCACTGACCTTCAGTTTATATATACTAATTAGTGTGTAATTATTTTTATGAGACTGAAATTATTCTGCCTTTCATCACATACAGTGAATAATTGTAATATGTATCAGATTAAGAATAGATTAGTATGTCCCCTGGTGAGATTGCAGTGTAACTTCAAAGTGTCAAATGCCTGAGAAATTAATCTCAAGATGTAGCAAATGGTCTGTGTATGTTAATTAAATGTATCCAAGATGTCAGCATGTTTACTGGAAAGATTAATTATCAAAGTTGGCTGGAAATATTGTTTGAATAAACAATACTTATATTACATATAAGTAACCTATTTATACAAACAATATTGTCTTGTAGTTGTGCATGGTGTAAATTTTGTGTTGTGTAACAATTGTTGTCCAATAATGTAAACATACATTTTGAAGGTTTTTTATTGGTGGTGTTTTATCTGTAATTGTCTCCTGGTATGTAAATATGCATATAATTTTCTGTTTGTATGGTAATGAAACAAATCCTTATAGATCCAATGTTTTCTTATTTCTGATGTATTAAACTCTCTTGATAGCCAAACTCAAATATAAATCACAATCCACAAAGTCCCAAATGGTGAGTTTTAAGTCAAAAGTAAATTGTAACAAGTCAAAATTTTATAAACTCACCATCAGTGAAATTGAGCATTATGGATATAAACCAACTCCCTAATAATGAAATGTTAGCATAAGTAATAAAGGGGGTATCTGTGTGTAAACCAAAACATAGTCCCAATAAATCATACTGGCTCAAAGCAGACAAAACTTTCAAATGAATAATATTTATTAATACAATAAACTCAATAACAAAATATTTTGGCCCTTGAGAAACACTCAGCATAATTAAGAATTTAGGAGTTCCTGCCGAGCAAGTCAAATAGCAACCTGTAGTGTGAGGAAGAACCTGCCTGCCCGACAATACGCCAGCCGGGAATGTGAAGCGAGGGGTCTCCACGAAGGGGATGAGACTAGGCGTCTCATCTGCAGCCAGGGTGTGCAAGGTCTGCATGGGGGATAGCCCATGTGGTGCTATTACAAGTAGTAAGTAGCAGGGTCTATCAATCTGGCGCTGGAATAAATTTGATAAAATTTGTCCCCGAAATGCTTGGGGATGAATGAAATTTTAGAAATGACCAGTGATAAAATTCCATCAAGGTCCAAAAACTCAGATGGTTACAGATGAGTGCCCCCAAGGATTTTGGTTAATTATACCTTCAATAATGTCATGAGAGTAAAAAAAAAAAAAAAAAAAAAATATTAAAAATTAATGAAAAAGATAATATACATGTACACAACAAGACATACTATTCACAATATAGTGTAAATGAGATGCCATATAAAAAAAAAAAAATTATATTCAATATTCAAAGTTTCAAACATGATAATACTATAAAAATGATATTCAGTATTCAAAGTTCTAACATGAGAATGCTATATAAAGATATTCAGTAATTCAATGATGAGATTACTATAAAAATGATTATCAGTAATCCCGTGATGAGAATGCTATAAAAATAATTATCAGTAATTCAATGTTGAGAAAGCTATAAAAATAAGTATCAGTAATTCAATGATGAGAATGCTATAAAATGGTATTCAATATCAAAGTTTTTGAACTGAGAGCTACACTAGATTGATTGATATAAATTTTGAACATCATGACAGATGCATTCAGTATTGTAATTCAGAGAGCAAAAAACTGCCTGTATGGCAATATGCCAGTTTGGGAATGTGGAGCGAGGGGTCTCCACAAGAGGCTGAGACTTGGTGTCTCATCTGTAGCTGTTAGTGTGCTAGGTCTGTATAAGGATATCACATGTGCTAGTAGATTAGCCAAAGTCTATCATAACTGGTACTGAAATACAGGCAATGATAATGCTATAAAACTATATTTAGTATTCAAATATGATAATTTTTCGAAAAAAAATTTTGAAGAAATACCCACTGTTCAGTTATGCAGTTAATAAATAATTCTTTCGAATGCCTAAAGCTCTCATCATTGAATACATGTTAAATGCAGTTATATATTTAAAGATTTTTTCGATCTGTTTGTCTAAAGTTCAAAGTACACAGCTATAAAGAACTGTTAGATTCTGGGGTGGTATTGACTGTTTGTATGTACTGCTGTCTCCAATGTGAACTTGGGTGTGTAAATATAAAAAGTTTGAAATGCATTTATACTATATAAATATCTTTAACAAATTAAATTTCAACAGTAAAATCTCCACTGTGTATAGAGCAATAAAACCTATGTACATACTGTCTCTGCTATTGTAAAAAGTGGTAAAAAACACCTGTCTAAGACATAATACAATCTCTATAATATCTAAAAAGTAATAGGCAAACTATACAGTTCCTTGGTTCATGTGGCTTGCTATATTTTAAATGCAAAGAAGTCTATTTAAAAAGTGTATGCTGTCAGATTCTAAGGATTCAAGTATGCTTGAATTATCAACGTCCCAAGTAAGTTTACAATTTGGTTTGAAATCAAATACTTCTGGACTTGTTCGTCACTGATGAGGCTGTAGTGCTGCCTTGTAGTCAATATGCTAAACCGGGTATCCTCTGTTTGAATAGTTGGAGAAATAATGTCCACACAGATAACAAATCTGAACATACTCTTGGGTCCATGTCGAAATACAGAGGCTCTAGTATCAAAATATGGTAGTCATTTCTGTTATAATCCTATTACACATGAGAAATCCTGAACTTGATAAATGTGAGACTAGTTGCTTTGTAGATATACTATGTAGATGTGCATATCGACAGGAAATTATGATTCAATTTTTTTTTCTTATACAATTTTTTTTTCTTACAGTTATTTTATTTCTCCAGTGACAATGTGGGGAAGTGGGGTATGTGAGCGTGCTCACTAAGGTTCTTTAATTTTGTAACTTTTAAGGACAAAATAAATAATTGTCAATATACAATATTTGTATGTATTCACAAATAATTCAACTGTAAATAAAAGTATTTGTTAAGCAATTTAAGTTGTCTGTTCATTTATATAGACTGGTATATCAATACCAAAACATTGAAAATTCTGATGTTTTTATGCCCCCGCCGTAGCGGAGGGGGCATTAAGTTTAACCCTTGTCCGTCTGTACGTCCGTACTTAGGTACGTCCCAAAATTGGTTTCCATTCTCTAACTTTAGTTTGCCTCAACCAAATGTTATGAAACTTTTACACAATGCTTATTACCACAAAGCACAGATCAAGTTTGAATTTTGGTGGGGTCACTTTTACTGTTCTAGAACTATGCCCCTTTATGAATTGGAAAAATTGCTGAATTTTTTGTTTCTGTTAGTTTAACTCTAGTTTGCCTCAACCAAATGTTATGAAACTTATACACAATGCTAATTATCACAAAACACAGATCATGTTTGAATTTTGGTGGCATCACTTTTGCTGTTCCAGAGTTATGACCCTCTACAAATGGAAAAATTGCTGAATTTTTTTGTTTCTGTTCTCTTTCTTTAGTTTGCCTCAACCAAATGTTATGAAACATATACACAATGCTTATTACCACAAAACTCAGATCAAGTACAAATTTGGGTAGCCTCACTTTTACAGTTCTTGAGTTATATCCCTTTATAACATTATATGCAAGCGGGGGCATCATCTGTGTCCCATGGACACATTCCACATTTAATTTTTTTTTTTTTTCACCATCATTAACTTACTATGTGTCTATTTGAAGGGATTTATCAGAATTGGTATTTTTGGCATTCATTTTACTTTGCACAAGTGCCCTAAAAATCTGAATGATTGCGCAAAAGTGCCCTTTGGGTCAAATAGCACCCTTCTGCCCTGAGATTCAAGCTGTAACACTGATAACAAAGTGGTATTCGAATAGGACACAATAAAAGAAACTGTGATGTTGCACTTGGTTCTTTAATGTAATAATCTTTTTGTCAGATTTAATGCTAGATAAAAACAAAATTCAAAAAAGAGTACATTATAGGCTCCAAAGTCAGCACATTTTGGATATATTGTCAAAATATTATGATTTTGTGCATTATTAGGACAAAGGAGTTGCGGCATTCATGTAAGCATGCTAAACCGTGTGATCATTTGTGTGATGCATTTCCAGAATCATCCACTTCCTGTTTACCCAATACTTGTATATTTTTTCCACACATTTTTCTCAGAAACTACAAATCATGGCTTTCTAAAATTTGTGATCATGCCTAATATGACTGCAGTGCTTTACCATTTGATGTGTTTTCATATGATGAAGACATAATCTTTCAATCAGTTTAATTGAGGTCTGGAGCTGGCATGTCAGTAACTGCTAGTAGTCTGTTGTTATTTATGTATTATTGTCATTTGGTTTATTTTCTTTTGTTTCCTTTTCTGACATCGGACTCGGACTTCTCTTAAACTGAGTTTTACTGTGCGTACTGTTGTACGTTTGTTTTTTCTACATTGGCTAGAGGTATAGGGGGAGGGTTGAGATCTCAAAAAACATGTTTAACCCTGCCGCATTTTTGCGCCTGTCCCAAGTCAGGAGCCTCTGGCCTTTGTTAGTCTTGTATCACTTTTAATTTTAGTTTCTTGTGTATAATTTGGAGTTTAGTATAACGTCCATTATCACTGAACTAATATACATATTTGTTTAGGGGTCAGCTGAAGGATGCCTCCGGTTGCAGGAGTTTCTCGCTGCATAGAAGACCCATTGGTGGCCTTCGGCTGTTGTCTGCTCTATGGTCGGGTTGTTGTCTCTTTGACACATTCCCAATTTCCATTCTCAATTTTATTTCACATTTTTTACTCATAAACTTCCTAATACAATAAGTCAGGGTATCATTTGTGATCAATAGCTCACAGTTTAACTTGTTTTCTTTAATTAGTTTTTACCAATTGATATTAAAAAGGGGATTTGACAATGAAATTTAATGTAATACTTTCTGTTGGATGTTATTCAGGCAACAATCAAATCAAACAGTCTGTCTAAGTTTCGTACATTTTCAGTATTGTCAGCAGTAGCAGCCATCAATCAGGCTTTAGATGTAGGTGACCCAGAAAGGACATTTAAAGCCTTGTGTAATGGGGATGCCTGTGTTCCTGATCTGGATGAAAACAATATGGAAAAATACCAAAAACAATTATTGTCTCAGAAGGCAGCTAAATCTGAGGTTAGTTCTAAATAAGATTGTGTTACTAGCACATAATAATAAATGTCCAATAATTTTAGATGGTATGTTGTCTTTTAAGTCATGGTTACCAAGTTGATTGAAAAATTGTAATATAATTTATGAAGTGAAATATAAACAAATTTAGTATCATTATTATTAGATTTGGTACAAAAATGAAATGAAGTGCAAAGAAATTCTTGAACTGCTCCTCAAAATGATATACTTGGAAGTATGCTGGTGACATTTATTCTGTTACTTTTGAACGATTTGCCAAATTCATCTGTCCATTGTGAATCCTAATGGAAATATGTAGGATCATATTCTTGAGAACTTCTATACCTAATGTTGCTTTTAAATTCTATGTTTTTGTTAGCTTAGTGAGATCAGTATTTTCTTGGGGATATCTTTGTATAAAGTTGCATTACTATCAGTTCATATCAGTTTGTCGCCTATATCTAGGCCCTACCACCTAGGTCATTGTTCAACAACTTTGAATTAATTATTATACTTATTTCTTTTAAGTCTGCTTTCAGAAGAAAAATACAATGGAGCTGGTTTGTTTGCTTCATACTGTTACGGTTTAGGGGATAGGATGTAGGTTTGAACATGACTTTTTCGGGCTACTCAGTAATCACTCACTTCTACTTTCACGTTCGTCGTTTACTATTAGCCAACACGTATAAAAAGACATTTGTTGAACATTACATATACTTTTATTGTTACTGTATGTAAATATTGTTAGTAAGGTCTCTGGGAATAATAATATAGAGTTCATCTTCATTGTTTGACAAGGGGGGTCCCATGACTGAATGACGGCTCCCACCTTCTGTTTACCCTTATTTCACACGTTCCCGCTTTTTTACCTTTCTATTTTATTTGCGTAAGGCTTGAATATTGTAACCGGGGCCCTTACATGCTGAGAGTAAGCTTAGATAAGTCCCATTTATCCATTTTCCGACTTGACAGAATGTCAACATTTGCAATCGCCGCCATTTGCATCACTAGGTTTCTTGACGTCAGTGACCTAATGACCTGAGATCAGCATCCAATCAGCATAACGTAATTTGCCCACAATCACCATAGTGGCACGAAACTCTAGTGGGACAGATGTATAAAAACGAGTGCATACCAGTCTTTAGGGAGACTGCGGCCCGCTACCAGGGCGTTCACTCCTGATACCAAGGAAATTACCAGAGCAAAGCAAATACGCCGCAGTCGATGCAACTCATAAAATACATGAACCTTTGATAGTGTATGCATCCCCATTGTACAAATGGACCTAACCATGATTGACCTAGATGTTTTACTACATTTACTACGATGTTGACAAACGTTTAATGTACCAAAAAGGGGGGGGTCTCTGTATATTTTATAACTTAAGTGCTCTGGTGGGTTTTTATGTGATTTATACTTGTAAGAGTATTAGATATTTTGTATTTATAATAAATTGTAAAGCTTAAGTCAATCTTGTTATCTGTTGTACATGTAATAAATAAGTCAATGTTAAATGAGTTTCTGAGCTACCACATTTAAACCAGTGCCTTAGCTGTTTTGCCTGCTACGCTACCTCTGACTTGACCATTTTGCCAGCTATGCTACCAGTAATTACTTAGTTTGTAACTCGACACCAGGGTTGACAGACAGTAGAATTTACCAATAACATACTCACCATGGTGTTAACCTGAATAAATACCTTTTACTTATGGGACACACCCACCAGTCCCGTAACAATACCATTCCATTCTAACTTTGACCTTTCATCACCTCTTCTGGCATAGAAGACACTCAATATGATGTAATGCTTACAGTTATATTATATTTAATTGAGCAAGCGATTGGTAGATAATTAATATGTCTCAAAATGCTGGATTAAGTTTAAGTTCAATATTCAATAACTGTGGTAAAGACATTTGTGTAAAAAATTATGAAATAAGAAACAAAATTTATATTGTTTATTATACTCTGTGACTAGATTTAGTTCCTATTGAGCAAATTATTTACTCCCTGAATAATATGAATTGCTGTGTTTCAAAGTAGGATCCACAGAAATATAGTAGATAAAAAAATTCTAAACCATTAACATTAAAGATAAATACAATGTCATTTTTTCATTACAGGCATCATGTGAGTTGCTGACCCATTATGAAATCTGTACCTGTATTGAAGAAATCAATCAACAAGTAACAGAGGAACATGAGCGTAAGTTTACTTGACCCTGACCATGAAGTGGATTGGGGATATAATGAAGTGCTGACGTCTGTCCCATAAGTAGGTCATTTTAAGATCTCTAAAACCTACAAATTATAAGCTTTCTCAAATCTACAGTTTTCAATGATTCTAAGTAACTATTTTGTCAAAGGTTAAAATCAACAATATTTTGGATTTGAATCAGGTTCAGTTGATTATTTTTTTGAAAGATAAAAGACCAGATGGAGCCTTAATTGGAATGTTCAACCTACTTGAATGCTTAACATAAGGAATGAATTACTAATTAACCCTTTTACTGATAGCCGCCCCAACAGAAGCTACTCAGAGAGGATGGCTTCCCTGGCTATTGTGACACAAGTGGGAGAACTTCATATTAGATATCAATAAAAACTTGTCTATAGTTATTTATGTCTTTATTTTATTCACTTACACCATGGACACAGTTTTATTTACTTTTTATTAAATTTTGTGTTGGAAAAAAATCAAATCTGCTAATTTTCAGCATTGAAATACATTAAATTCAAGAAATTCCTCTTTTGGACCCAAAATCATAAATTTTTAACCCAAAACGGCAAAAGTTTGAACATTTTTACAAGGTTGTACAAATTTCTTACACTAAAAGATGTCCATTCCAAGTTTTTAGCTCACCTGGCCCAAAGGGCCAAGTGAGCTTTTCTTATCACTTGGCGTCCGTCATCGTCATCGTCCGTCGTCGTTAACTTTTACAAAAATCTTCTCCTCTAAAACTACTGGGCCAAATTTGACCAAACTTGGCCACAATCATCATTGGGGTATCTAGTTTAAAAAATGTGTCTGGTGACCCGGCCAACCAACCAAGATGGCCGCCATGGCTAAAAATAGAACATAGGGGAAAAATGTAGATTTTGGCTTATATCTCTGAAACCAAAGCATTTAGAGCAAATCTGACATGGGTAAAATTGTTTATCAGGTCAAGATCTATCTGCCCTGAAATTTTCAGATGAATCTGACAACCCATTGTTGGGTTGCTGCCCCTGAATTGGTAATTTTAAGGAAATTTTGCCGTTTTTGCTTATTATCTTGAATATTATTATAGATAGAGATAAACTGTAAACAGCAATAATGTTCAGCAAAGTAAGATCTACAAATAAGTCAACATGACCAAAATGGTCAGTTGACCCCTTAAGGAGTTATTGCCCTTTATAGTCAATTTTTAACCATTTTTCGTAAATTTTTGTAATCTTTTACAAAAATCTTCTCCTCTGAAACTACTAAGACAAATTTAACCAAACTTGTCCACAATCATCATTAGGGTATCTAGTTTAAAAAATGTGTCCGATGACCCCACCCCCAACCAAGATGGCTGACATAGCTAAAAAACAGTACATAGGGTAAAATGCAGTTTGTGGCTCATATCTCTGAAACCAAAGCATTTAGAGCAAATCTGATGAGGATAAAATTGTTCATTAGGTCAAGATCTATCTGCCCTGAAATTTTCAGACCAATCAGGCAACACATTGTTGGGTTGCTGCCCCTGAATTGGTAATTTTAAGAAAATTTTGCAGCTTTTGGTTATTATCTTGAATATTATTATAGATAGAGATAAACTGTAAACAGCAATAATGTACAGCAAAGTTAGATCTACAAATAAGGCAACATGACCAAAATTGTCAATTGACCCCTTAAGGAGTTATTGCCCTTTATAGTAAATTTTTTACAATTTTCATAAATTTTGTAAATTTTTGTAAATTTTTACAAAATATTTTCCACTGTAACTACCGGGCCAAGTTCATTATAGATAGAGATAATAGTAAGGAGCAAGAATGTTCAGTAAAGTAAGATCTACAAACACATCACCATCACCAAAACACAATTTTGTCATGAATCCATCTGTATCCTTTGTTTAATATGCACATAGACCAGGGTGAGCGACACAGGCTCTTTAGAGCCTCTAGTTTTGTACATAAAACAGCATTTTATGTCAAAATAGGATACTAGTCTGGCTTCAATTCTTCCAAATTCTTTCCAAAAAAATGTTCCCTTATTTCAAATTCCAGTAAAATCCGTAAATTTCAGTTGATTTTGACACAGTTTTCAACACAGAAGCACCATGTTTACACTTTCATCCGGGCAATAAACAAAGAAAGATAACTTGTGTTTGCAATGTTTTTCAACAGGGAAATTTAAAAGAGGTATGCTGATCCCGGTAAACCGAGACTCATCGTCAGCTGTCAGCGAAAGGGTTAACTTCAGTCTAAAATAATAATAAAGCAAACACTTTATTTCACCACTCAATAGACAATTTCATGACCTCATTAATGAATACACAAATGTATAAATGTATATGTTAGATGTTTGATATGTATAACTTGTATATTTAATAACTTACACATTAATTTTGATCTACATAACATAAAATGATTATGTTAATTGGTCCCATGTCATACAAGGATATTTGATGAACTTTTATTATTAGAAGAATTTTAATATGGTAGTTTCTTCTGTCTCTAAAGATGAAAACGTAAAACATGTAACAGGAAGAATTATTTGATTAAAATATGAATTTGCAATTTAAACAAATTTGTTCTGCAAATATTAAAGGACGAACTATCATTGAATCACATTATGCTCATTTTATCCACTAAAAAATACATTTCTTTTTAAAGAGCTGCAGTTAATGTAACTGTCTGCAATAGTACTATAGCAAGGTTTTTTTGTCCATAACAGACATACCTAAATATGATTTGAAATTATTCAAGCTTCTCTTCCAATCTTTCCATGAGTGAATTTGATCACTTTGATTTGAGGAGGTACATGCCCTTTGAAATGTTAACAATATGGAAACTGCCAACATTTCTCATTGAAGTTTAATGCAATTTTTGTCAAAAGTTAACATCAGCAATATGACCCAAGAACACAGTAATTTCGTAGTGCATTTCTTTTAGACAACAAATTCAAATTAAAAAATTTGCACCTGTACAATCGCAAAAAGATTTTTACAGTGTAGTGTACTGCTTTTAGGACAAATTATATCAAAATTATAGAAACGTCTGCCAGCTCTTAATCAGAATATGGACAATTCTATGTTTACGGGGTCTACAATTCAGCTTGACGCTTCAGACATACCATTTTTTTTACCTTTTTCAACTGGACCAAATAACTACTTTACCTAACTATTCATCACTCAATTTTTATACGACCGCAAAAATTTTTGCGTTCGTATATTGGTATGACGTTGGTGTCGTCGTCGTTGTCATTGTCGTCCTGCGTCGTTTGAAGACACATTGGTTTTCTCACTCTAACTTTAGTTTAAGTGAATGGATCTCTATGAAATTTTACCATAAGGTTCAATACCACAAAAGGAAGGTTGGGATTGATTTTGGGGGTTATGGTACCAACAGTTAAGGAATTAAGGGCCGAAAAGGGGCCAAAAATAAGCATTTTTGTAACTTCCAGGCATAACTTGTGTGTTAGTGTATGGATCTCTCTGACATTGTACCACAAGGTTCCATATCATAAAGGGAATGCTGGGATTGATTTTGGGGGTAATTGCCTCAAAATATTAGGAATTAGGGGCCAAAAAAGGGGCAAAAAACAAGCATTTTTCTAGTTTCATGACAATAACTTGTGTGAAAGTGTATGGATCTTTCTGAAATTGTACTTCAAGGTTCCATATCACAAAGGGAAAGCTGGAATTGAGTTTGGGGGTAATTGCCCGAAACGTTTAGGAATAAGGGGCCAAAAAGGGGCCAAAAATAAGCATTTTTCTAGTTTCCAGACAATAACTTGTGTTCAAGTGTATGGATCTCTCTGAAATTGTACCACAAGGTTCCATATCACACAGGGAATGCTGGGATTGATTTTGGGGGTAATTGCCTCAAAATTTTAGGAATTAGGGGCCAAAAAAGTGGCAAAAAACAAGCATTTTTCTAGTTTCATGACAATAACTTGTGTGTAAGTGTTTGGATATTTCTGAAATTGTACTGCAAGGTTCCATATCCCAAAGGGAAAGCTGGAATTGAGTTTGGGGTTAATTGCCCGAAACGTTTAGGAATTTGGGGCCAAAAAGGGGCCAAAAAACACATTTTTCTAGTTTCTAGACAATAACTTGTGTTCAAGTGTATGGATCTCTCTGAAATTGTACTGCAAGGTACCATACCACAAAGGGAAGGCTGGGATTGAGTTTGGGGGTGATGAATCATAAGGGGGTTCAAAAAATTGGGGTGGGGGGGGGGTGGGGGATTTTGTTTTTTTTTCATTTTTTTTTTCTTTTAAAATTTTCCATTTTAAGTTGGTTATTTCTGATTTATATTTAAAAGCAAATAATAATGATATGGTAGGAGATACACACCAAACAGGATGTGTAAATTATTATATAATAAGTATTGTGCAATAGCAAGAAATTTTCAATTGCACAGTATTGCACAATAGCAAGAAATCTTCAATTGGACAGTATTGCGCAATAGCAATACAAAAAAAGGTCCGCAATAAGTGGTGCACAGTTAGTCCCCATTGGAATTCCGATAACCTGACGATATACGGAAACTCCAAAGCGAACAAAAAAGTTATCTAGTAAAAATTCAAGGGCATATATAGTATCAAAGCATGTCCAATTGACATAGTTTTTTTGTTTATTGCTACTAAAAAATGACCTAAAAGAGTTTGAACATATATATTCACATTCTGACTTTTTAAATGCCCATTTAATTAGGTGTGTGAATTTTTTCTTAATGAGAATGTGAGGCAATGTGGTATATAGGGTAGAAAAATCAAAACTTTGAACAGATTCAAAATCACCAATATATGCATGCAATTTATCAAGTACTTCCAACGAGTTCTTGACACTCCAAAAGTAATTAATTCCACTATTTTCGAAGGCCTTATTTGAACAATTTATTATCAGGTTTTTGATTGTACCAAGTGTACTGGTAAGAAGAATAGACAATTTAGTAGTGGAACAATGGCTTGAAGACGAAATGAATCTATATTTGAAACGTTTAGGAATTTGGGGC